ATACAAGAGGAATCTTCGGACACAAATGACTCATGTACCGATAGGGACGATATTCAATGGTTTCCATTAAGAGTCATCTGTTGTTATCTCTCGCCTCATGGCATTTGACCTTTTTTTTATTATTATTATTATTTATTATAATTTATTTTTTTCAGTAAATGACAAGATATCGCCTATCGGATCTTCAACATGACCCGAGTGAGCAAGCTAGTTAGATGCGGACAGGGTGCTGACAAGGCTGGAAGTCGTCACAACGCTTCTGCCAGACCTTATCACATTCCTGCAGCTGCACGCTAGCAATTAGCGTTCATTGAGTAGCCGTAATTAAACGGTTCACCAATCACATCTGGCAAATGTGAGGTCAATCTGCAGATACCCTGGCCAAGAAGCACAAGGAGAAACTGTGATATGGATGTGCATAGTGACATGCCACAACAGCGGTCGAGTCACTTTGGTGGCTATTTCGAGGTCTAAATGTGTCAAGACACAATGTGCAATAGTTTGTCTATTCGTCTTTTTTTCGTTCTTTCTTTCTTTTTCTTTTTTTTTTTTTTTTTTTTTTTTTTTTTTTTTTTTTTTTTTTTTTTTTTTTTTTTTTTTTTTTTTTTTTTTCTTTTTTGGTCTCCCTCTCATTGTCCGTTTTCAGTCTGTAACTAAATCCTGGAAGACGGCCGAGTGAACCTATGCAGCCATCACTGGGTAGTGCACAGAACAACTACAATTGTATGTATGATTGTAGCTCGGTAGCACATGTGTTATGCTGTACTCAATTCCACTCTGAACACAGAAAGAAGCCATTGCCGAATTGGTGGGCGCACACGGCATCTGTCTACCGTCTGTAGTGTACACCTGCGAGACAGCATATGATTGACCCTAATCACTTGCCGTGGATTTGTCTGTGACAAATTATGAGTCTATTTATTAATAGAAATTATCAGTTCTCCGAGAATGGCGATTTAGTGTTCGTCCATCGGTTCTCCCATGCGGGGTCGATCAATAACGCACTGCACCTTAACGCCGTTCTCCAGGCCCCCTGAGATCTAAACGCAGGTATTTTTATCTTGATCGGGTGCAGGTACAGCGCAATCAGAATGGGGCATTTCAATTCCAACCGTTGGATCCCACAGCGCTTGTTTGACGACCGGTTCCTGTCTATCATGTCACATCCTATCCCGGCGTATCGACCAGCGTGATCCAGGAAACAGATCCATGTTCCTGGATGAGAAAGCAAGGAAGCAAGGTCCATGTCCGACAGGACCTGCATGGTATCTGCCTAGATGTAGCCGCTGAATCTGTTCAACGAGATTCGCCTATGTCCATGCAAAGTGAGCACGGCGAAACGATTCCTGTGTTTCTAGGCGGCTAATGATTGAACCATGTTGAATCATTGAAGAGGCTGAGGCGCTACAGAATTTCTACAGACCCATAGCTAGACTTCATACACTGGTCGTTTCAAGTTCATGGTTTATTGGCTATAGTTGATCGTGTTCTAGATGCCCGTACCGAGTTAGTTGTCACTGCGGCTCTTGCTCCCAGAATAGAGGCGCTTACAGTGCCCAACTCGGATTAAGTTCTCGGATAAGGCTTCTGGAATAGTTTGTTTCATGCTCTTTGAACGAGTATAGGACCATTGGATAAGAAGCGATGTTGGAGGTCGTTTCTGAAGCAATAGTACGAATCCATTTTCATCGGCCTAGCATGCCAACTCGGTGTACTAAATAAGGAAATTGTATGATTCTAGCCATGATCCCATGAACAGGTGGCTTTTGAATGGAGCTTGTTTTCTAAAAAATTAAGGTGGGACATATAGCCCAGGTTTTTTGTTGGGAAAGATTCCATTTTATCGTGGTCATGCCTGTGTAGAGCGGCAGGATCAAACTTCAGCAAACTGCGCTCAACAAATCTGCAAAGCTGCAGCTATTATGCGTGGCTTGGGATATGCCCAAATTGTAATGTTGGGAGTGCACCAAGCGAGACTGATGTCTGCTCGTACTTGTTGAATGAGATGTAGGCATGTTAGTTCTAATACGTTGAGCAGGATACAACTTAAGTAGTAAGTTCATGATACTCACGGTGTGGCCAACACAGTATAGTACATGCAGACCTATTTCTTGCTGTCAACTATTGACTTCCATTGATCGCCATGGTCGCCAATTTTGCATTGTTGCCCTGGCCCGGACAAGAGCTTGTGGAGACAAATGAATCTCACGATATAGAAATTATTACACGCTTCTCTGACCTTCTGTCATGTCTAACGTATATCTGGGCCATACTATGGGTACAAAGCATTGGTTTTTTTTAACGGGGTGGGGAGGCTTGCCTTGGGGCCTTGCAGCCTGTGTGTTACCTTGTGCTGGTTCAATCATTATGAGCAGTATATTGGGTTACATAGCTCGATCTAGGAGATGCCTCCATAATTTTAGGAATTATTAATGAGATCTCTATATCTTTTAGTTCCTAGGTCTTGGATACCAGTTCTGTGATCAAACTACGTTTAGGGTTAAACTCTTGTGATATCTCAAGCGGGATTTTGAAGAACCTGGGGTTCAGTGGGTCACAATTCACAGGATGGACTTAGGAGAAATATTTCCTACTTACAGGCATTCTCCGACTAGAAGCTATCGGTATATATGATGTCGAGCCATAAAAAAAAAAGAGGAAACAAATTCACTGATTTTTATGAGTTAACAAGAGGAGTAAACTTCAAATATATATCTACTAGGAATCAAAGCCGAAGCTACTCAAATCACCCGTTATGTTAATCACCGGCATTGACTTGTTTACAGGGCCCCCGATCATAGTGTCGATCTACTGAGAAGTAGGGGGGTTTTTTTTTATAGAAAGTCTTGTATATGAGGCTGACAATTATCTTCTACTACGTGTTATTTGTTGATGTCGAGGTGTAAATGATACCGCGCTGATTGGTCGTGCGACATGGGGAACCCAGGGATCCACTGATCTGTCGGGCCCAACTTGAATAGCTTCAGCCCGTCTATTCGGGCCGAGTTGGACAATAAATCTGCTCCTTTCTCTTTGATTACGAACTTCCCTCACTGTAAAATGCAAAAGGGTTCAAGATGTTACGCCTACCAATGAGATATACAATTTCTCGCAGCTTTCCCCGGTTATCGACCGTGTCATCTTCCTTATCTCTCCGTCGCATTCCGCCCTGTACCTCCAACTCCACGCCGCTGCCTCTTCCTCGATCCATCTCGACATGCCTCGCCCCCCGCAGCTGCGTCAGTCACTCGATACCCTTCTCTCATAAATTCCCACGCTCGTCCAGTTCGTTCCGTGGCCGACCATTTTCTAGCTCCGCAAAGCGAGGGTACCAGTATGGAGGGAACCAATATAGGCGATTCAATGACCCGAGACGCGAGCCGCTCTTCATTCGCTTGGTGAAGGATGCTAAACCGCACCACTTTGTCATAATAGGGCTGGGGATTAGTGGGTTCTACATATATAATACCGACACGGTAGAGGTGCGTCCCCGGTTGTGGACGCCATGCGACCGACAGCGTCACTTGCGCCAGTGGGGTTAGCATCGCACAGGACGCAAGGATGGCCTGACACTTTGTGTGCTTGTACCTGGTACTGATAACTTCGCTTAGATGACTGGTCGCCGACGGTTCAACTGCGTCTCTGCGCAACGGGAACTCGAGATGGGCAGACAGAGCTATCTGGAAGTCCTGAACGAAAACCGGGGAAGCATTCTTCCCGAGCACCATCCGCTTACCATGCAGGTGAATCGTGTTTTGCAGCGCTTGATTCCGCAGGCGCCGATTGAAGGTGCAGACTGGAGGGTCCACGTCATCAAGGATGATAGCATGCTCAACGCCTTTGTTCTTCCTGGGTAAGAACCTCTTACTTTGCTATTTCTTACCTCGTACTTGCTGTCGATATACTAATTAGTAGCCCAGCGGTAAGGTGTTTGTCTACACCGGTATCTTGCCTATATGCAAAGACGAGGATGGCTTAGCAGCCGTGCTAGGGCATGAGATTGCCCATGTGGTGGCCCATCATCCGGCGGAGCGCATGAGCAACAGCTTTATCACCATGGGAGCTGCCTTCCTTGTCTCACTACTGTTTGACATCTCTGGACACCTTCCCTCATTGCTTATGAACCTTGCCTATAGCCTGCCAAACTCACGAACCCAGGAGGTAAGTCTGTTATCGCCATTAGTTGGATGTGTGCTCAACTAATAACCTAACAGGCTGAAGCGGATGAGATCGGACTAAGTGCGTTCGTTGTCCAAATGTTGGCGCCGCAGAGCTAATACGTAACAGTGATGATGTCGAAAGCGTGTTTCAATCACGAGGCCGCAGTCGAATTGTGAGTTACGGGCAGCTCTTAAGATTTTACGACCGTCATGCAACCAAGGCTGTAGCTTGTATAGGTAAACTAACATACTCTTAGATGGGCACGCATGCAGGAAGCTGAGAAGGGAGCACCGCCACAATTCCTGTCAACACATCCCTCGGTATGTCCTTCAGAGAGCTAAAACCAATTTTCAGAACCTTTGCTGATATGTTCAAAGAGTTATAACCGCATGGAGGCGATCCGTGGATGGTAAGGTTGCCCTGAGTACTACTTCGACAGGAATGCTCTAACTTGACTCCTAGGTCCATTAAAGCTGAAGCAGCATATGAAGATAGTGGATGTCATGCCATTGGAGGCTTCAGTAAGACGCTATCATCCTCATTGTCCAATGCAGAATGGCTAATGATATTCCTATGTGCAGTGCCAGGATTCCGACAAGCCGCTTATCATGACCGCTGGTGACAGCTCTTATACGAGTGGGGATGGATACCCCAGTCCCAAGTAATCTCTTCTGTAAATTATTAGGATACACGACACTGTACCATGATAATATAACGACCAATTCTCATCTCAAATATATGAAATGTATAAAGACATTAGTCAGTGTCCCAAAAGGGAAATGCCCTAGGAGAGCCCCTCCGCGTGCAAACTAAACAAACATCCGCCGCCAGACCGTCTCGAAGCTCTCCGTCAAAAATTCCCAGAAACAGCTTCAGGACAGCGTTGTGGCTGATCTAATTTTCATCTTCCTCTTTTTTTAAGTACATAACTTGAGAGGAAGCCCCTTGTCATTATGTCGTTGTCTATGCCTGGTCCCTCCCAGGCCGGGCTTTTCAAGCCTGGCTATCAGAGGTAAGCGAAGCCCACTTGTGGAATGTTCCGCCCGATATCTTCTGAAACCAAGGCTCCAGTCGGGGAACCTGAGGGGAGTCGGATGGAGTCGTGTGTTGCTGGATAGCTAACTCTGGGACTTGCAGCCACGATGCCGAAGATGGCGCCGTTATTCGTAACATCGAAGCCTGCCAGGCTATCTCTCAGACCGTCCAAACATCGCTTGGTCCTTATGGCCGCAACAAGATCGTCATCAACCACCTGCAGAAGATGGTTCTTACTTCCGATGCCGCTACCATTCTGCGCGAGCTGGATGTCGTACATCCTGCCGCCAAGCTACTTGTCATGGCCAGTCAGCAGCAGGATGTGGAGATGGGTGACGGTACCAACCTGGTCATCATTCTGGCCGGAGAACTGTTGAAGAAGGCTGAGGAATTGATCCGTTTGGGATTGAAGACGAGCGACATCGTCCAGGGTTATGAGAAGGCACAAAACTTTGCCCTCAAGGTGCTAGAAGGTGGGTGTGCTCGTGTCTCCAATAGCTCATAGTTCTCTCAGGGGCTAGCATCCGTCGCAGTTCCTTTCTAAAGTTTTAGTTTACTGATCACTTGTCGAATGCGCAGACCTCGAAGTCGATCGCCTGAAGGAACTTCGCTCCCAGGAAGAGCTCGGCAAGGCTCTTCGTACTGTCGTTGCCAGCAAGCAGTCCGGAACAGAGGATACCTTGGCCTCGTTGGTTGCGGAAGCCGTGCTCGCTGTCCTGCCTAAGAACCCCGTTAATTTCAACGTCGACAACGTTCGTGTAGTGAAGATCATGGGTGGTAGCTTGGAGCAGTCTCGTGTGGTGAAGGGAATGGTTCTTGGCAGAGAACCTGATGGCACCATCAAGAAGGCTACCAAGGCTAAGGTCGGCGTGTTCAGCTGCCCCATCGACATTTCTCAGACCGAAACCAAGGGCACTGTGCTGCTGAAGAGCGCGGATGAGATGCTTAACTTCACCAAGGGTGAAGAGGAACGCCTCGAGACCGCCATTAAGGAGCTCTATGACTCCGGTGTTCGCGTCGTCGTGGCCGGTTCCTCCGTTGGTGACCTGGCTATGCACTACCTCAACCGCTTCAACATCCTTGTGATCAAGATCCTCTCCAAGTTCGAACTCCGCAGACTTTGCCGTGTCGTCGGCGCCACTCCTCTTGCCCGTCTAGGTGCCCCTATGCCCGACGAAATGGGTAGCATCGATGTCGTTGAGACCACCGAAATCGGCGGTGATCGTGTGACCGTCTTCCGTCAAGAGGAGGCCAACACTGTGACCCGCACAGCTACCATTGTTCTGCGTGGAGCGACACAAAACCACTTGGACGATGTCGAGCGTGCCATCGATGATGGTGTGAACGCAGTCAAGGCCATTACCAAGGACCCCCGTCTGGTTCCCGGCGCAGGCGCTACTGAAATCCAGCTCGTGGAGAAGATTTCTGCATTCGCCGACCGGACCCCTGGCTTGCCTCAGCATGCCATTCGTAAGTACGCGGAGGCTTTCGAGGTCATCCCCCGCACTCTTGCGGAGTCCGCTGGTCTCGATGCCACCGAGGTTCTTTCTCGTCTGTACACAGCCCACCACCGCGCTAGCACTGGTGCCGACGCTTCGTCAGAAGAGGAGTCGGGTAGCTCCGAGGAGGAGGAACCATACTGGACGACCGGTGTTGATCTGGAATCGAGTACCTCGGCTGGCACTCTGGACACCGTCGAGGAGGGTATTCTCGACCTGTTGGCTTCCAAGAGCTGGGCTATCCGCCTGGCCAGCGAGTCCGCGCGGACAGTCCTCAGCGTCGATCAGATCATCGTCGCTCGTCAAGCAGGTGGTCCCAAGCCACCCGGCCCCAACGCTAACTGGGATGAGGATTAAACATGAAGCATTACATATTTAATTGGGGTTAAAATAGGAATGTGATAGATACGATATCATGAAAAGTCCATTGCTCAAGGATTTTGACCTAAGCGTGTTGGTGAGAGTAGTGGTAATATTGGCTACTGTGTATAATGCGAGTCACACTTGACTATATTATCCTCTATCGTATGAAGTGTAGTATTTTCTAGATCCCTCTATATTAACCAGAAGCAGCTGTTGGGGTTGATGTTTACTAGCCTTGAAAGCGTTCCGGCGCATCGGACGGGCAGCTCACGTGACCGACGCCTGGATTTTCCGGACCGAAACTCGACTTTCTTTTTCAGTTCAAGACTTTCGGATAGCTCTCTGGTTCGGTTTGATTGAGCAGCGCCTGATTCTCTCCATCTCCTCAACGCTCGTCTGTCTCCTCTCCGGTCACATCCCTTCACAGCCATCATGTCAATTTCTTCGCAGGTCGCCGCCCGCTGCTGCAGGCAGATCGTCCGCCCATCCGCCGCTTCTTTGCGCCTCTCTTCCTCGACATATCTGTCTCAGCGGACACGGAGATGGCAGTCCACCGAGGCGGAGGCTGCTGCCCCTGTCAACCCTAAGATTAGCCAGATTGTTGACCAGATCAGCACATTGACACTTCTGGAGACCGCCGACCTCGTGGCCACCCTCAAGGTTCGTTCATTGTTTGTTTCTTTCCGCCTATCGCAAACCAATGCAGTGCAATGTTTTTGCTCGCGTGCACCTCCACCGGGGGGTAGTTGGATACATCGATGAGACCAATTGATGAGAACATTATGTACTGATGTCACTGTTCCCCCTGCAGTCCCGCCTCAACATCCCCGACCTCCCCGTTGGCGGTTTCGCCATGGCCGGCGGTGCTGCTCCCGCCGCTGCTCCCGCTGAGGAGGAAGAGGCTGCTCCTGCTGCCCAGGAGAAGACCCTCTTCAACCTGAAACTCGAGACCGTTGACGCCGCCTCCAAGGCTAAGGTCATCAAGGAGATCAAGTCTCTCCTCGGCCTGTCCCTGGTTGACAGCAAGAAGTTCGTCGAATCCGTGCCCAAGGTCCTGAAGGAGTCCGTGCCCAAGGAGGACGCCGAGAAGATCATCGAGACGCTCAAGGCCGTCGGTGCTAAGGCCGTCATGGAGTAAACGGGGAATAATAATTTCGATGAATTGATTTATACCTGGTGATTGCCTCTTTTCCTGGCTCTGCGAATCGGGGGCGACGGGGGATCAGGACGGCCGGGACGTTGTGATTGGACTGCATCATCGAGCTGGAGTTTTGTCTCTCACCACTTATTACTGTGTTTTTAGTGTTTTCTTTTCTCCGTCGTATATCTCTTGAAATGTTTCTGATATAACCGGAAAGCGGGAAAAAGGCGGCAAATGTACATTATCATCTCTTGATTTGGACAATTTGGATCCCTGATGGACGAACGATCTGTGTCTGTTCAACTCTTTCTTGCTGTCTATTGAGCTTTTCCACGACGGATGGACGATAGATATGCTGTTTTACTATTATGAAGTTAATCATGGGTTATTCGTTTATAGAAGATGCGTAGCGGTCCAATTGCAGGGAAACAATCACATCCCAAACAAGACTACCAAGATAAGTAAAATAACATAAATCTATTCTAGTATCTACTAATCGTTGTATTGCCAGTCCAAGTGGTAAGTACGTAAAAGTAAAGTCAAGTAAACAGCTCCGCTCCACCAAGAAATCTCTCCGCCAGTCCCATAAATCCATACATAACCTCCAACAGAAAACAAAAGAAAAATAAGAAAAGAAAGAACAACAAACCACCGCACTCCCTCTCCCTCTCCCAAACAACCCACCCACCCACACACATACTGACATACTCATACACAATGTCCCTCACAAGACCCCCAATCCCCCTCCGAAAATGCCCACGCCTCTTCCCCCGACCAATCCTCCGATCCCCCGTCACCACCAACCAACATCACCGCCAAACCACCCCAACAACAACACCAACCATCAAACAATTCCACACCACCCCAAAACCCAATGCCGCCCGCTCCCCGTCCGTCCGCCGTGCCGAAGCAGCCCAGAAACGCCCCCAACAACCCCGAATCGCAGCCACCTACACTGAAGACGGCCTCCTCAAGACCCCAGCACAAGGCGACCTTCCCCAGCGCCAGCGATTCCTCGACTCCGCGTCTAAAACCCTCCACGACGAAGCACGCAAATATGGTGGCGTCACCGTCGATTATCCTACGTTTGTTCGGATCGCGAAAGAGCTCTTTAATGTCGCGTATACCTATCCGCCGGCGGCGCATCTTGTTCAACGGATTGGGGGTGGTACGTTTTGTTTTCCATTCCCCATTATCCTAATATAATATACTATTTCCGTAAAGGAATTGAGCTAACATGTCCCACGGTGGGGGAAATATAGATATAGACGAGGTCTTCAAGATAGGCTACCACATTGGCACAAACGACATGAGCTTCAAGGAATGGGTACTAGCAGCGTGCAGTCTTGCCGGGGCGCGAGGACCCGTATTATACCAGACTGCGCGATACCTAGCCATAACAGCACGACGGGGCACGGAAGTGCGGCAAACGGCTGTGCTGGACAAGCTGGAGGAAATCGGACACACGAGTAACGATCCCCGGGCGCTGCAGCTTCTTGCGCAGGTGCAGGGCCGGCGGGGGAAATATACCCAGGCCTTGGAACTTATGGAGGCGGTGTTGGCGCGGATCCATCCGTCGAAGAAGGCGCCTAGCGGGGCGGAACATTCATATCTGATTTCGGAGGTTATGGAAACGCCGTGGCGGGTATATGCGGGGTTGAAGGAGAAGGTGGGCGATCCGATGGGAGCAGATGAGGTGATGCGTCGCGCGGCGCTGGAGTATGAGGATCCGAGGGCGTTGCAGGATTATGCGAGTTTGTTGATGCGGGAGATGGATTTGGAGGGCTATGAGGAGTGTATGAGTAAGGCGGCTAGTTCGGGGGATGCGATGGCTTGTCTGAAACTGGCGAACTTTTACTATCTCACGTCGAAGGGGTGGTTTCCTCGACGAGGGGTCAAGGTGTCGGAGGGGGATAATGCGAAGGCGACCCCAAAGGCGACCCGAACGGTTGATCCGGCCAAGCCGGTTGAGGAGAAGAAGCCCGGCGCGCTGGGGAGGTTCTTTTCGTTCCTTTCTGCGGACGTCAAGTCGCATGCCGAGTACCGGAAGTTGGCGGTGGATTGGTACGAGCTGGCGGTTAAGCATGGAGGCTCACGGGCTGCGTTGCTGCTCGCTATTATCGAGCGTGAGGATGGGAATTATGAGGCGGCGTGGGAGCTCTTCCGGTCCTCGCGGACTGACGATGCGAAGGAGTTTATGCCGACGTCCCAGGATGAGCTTGTGAAGGCCTGGCGGGATGCGACGTTTCGGCCTGAGGTGCCGCTTCAGTTGCTTGATCTTTGATGGAGCTATATCTATAGCTGGATGGTCCGCTGAAGGATGATGATGTGTGGTTTGTTTACTGTGTGTTTGGTTGATTCCCGTGTACTATATATACGCTGTACCACAATATCAATTCGCTATGATTGTATTGTTTCATAGAATGTTCGAACCCAGGACAGAAATAGGAAGGACTCCCGTTATTATACGGCGAGTACGCTACAAACGGATGAACTTGCTTGGCCAGAAATGGACTCGGATACTACACGCGTCGGGTTCTTGGTCTTAGGTCTGCCGTAGGTTTGTATTTTAGCACCATGACAAGTCCTTCATACTGAGTGGAGCCGTGATCAGGTTCATATGCCTTGAAAGGCGACCTTGTCATAAACCTTCATTAAAATCGTTATGGTATTCGTTTAGAAAGAGGCGCAGTGCCAGCGTTCCGGTTGCTCTGAGATATCGCAACGCTGCTAAAAGTGGCCCAATGACGAAGTGTTCTTTTATGAACGGCCCGTACTAGAGTCATCGCTTCCTTCCCTTGCCCTTCCCCTCGCCCCTTGTTTTTAGTTCGATAAATCCGAGCTCTTTGAGTCCCTCCGCGAGAGGGGATGAGTCTCTCATCCCGGGGAAGTCCTTAGCTGGATACACCTGGAATGGTTTCGACCACACCTCCGCGAGGATAGGCATATGCTGACCGGTATCCTCCACATGGCCCCAGTTCATGAGCCGAAATTGCAGGCGATACAATCCAGCTTTGCTAATGGAAAGGTCTGAGAATATGAAAAATGTCGCCGGTTGTTGAGTTCGTTCCGATTCTCCAGGAATCCTCTGCCTCATACAATCCTCACTAGTGGGGTGGGCAGGTGCTGTCGCAGGGTCCGGGTCGGCATCGACATAGAAGGGAGAGACAAATGTCTTTCCGGAAAGCAAAGGCGTTGATTGACCTGGGCTCGCGGTGGATCCAAGGCGGCTTTCCTGAACGAAACCCCCTCTCTCCCTATCCAATGAGCCTTGCTGGGACGATGTCTCCACAGGGAATAGAATGCAACCAACTGCAAATCTTGGATCCTGCAAGATATCCTTCTCTTGGTCTGACACAGGGTCGAAGTCAGTTAGGAGCAATTGGATGATGGGTGGAGGATCAACAGGTCGCCGATCTCTATTACTAAAACCGCACGCTCTTGCCGCCACTGGTTGCTGTCGAATATGTAAATGATAACGGGAAGCTGTTGAAGGCCGCCGCGGGGGTGGTGATGGTGAATGGTGAAGCAATTTCTCGAAGCCTGAGGGTACGCCGGACGTTGTCTGACGCGGAGGTTGCTGCGCCGAATACTTCGGCGTAGGGTTGGTGGTGAACATTGCCGAGCTCTTATCAGAGTGAACGGGGCTTGGAAACGTCGTGGAGGAACTACTATACCTGATCGGATCGAGTTAGAACATCGTGGAAGAATGCATCATAAGGCCCCCCTAGAACAGATTCATTCCCTTTTGGAATGAGTCCAGGTCGATCCAGAAGCAAGAACAGAAGCGACAGTCGCAGGCCAAGGAAAGGGAGAGTTACAGAGATTCCAGGTCGTTTGTCCGCCCCGTGGACCCTATAGAGCCACGGCCTTGGCTTGATGTTTCATTGTAGGAACTTGATGGCCCACTATAGTCAACGTTCTTCGAGATGCTGCAACGCTGCGCTGAGTACGGAGCAAGAGGCCCACTCGTGCTTGAGGAGACACTATATCGGTGCTCCGCGCTATCCCGCCTTGCTCCTTCGAATACAAACCTAGGCTGAGTTGAGCCTTGACTGTCTGGAAATAGAAACCGTGGAGGTTCCTGAGTCGAATATGCGGGATTTGGAATTGCTGCTAATCCTCTTCTTGCATCGTCACCGGCACGAGTGCTCGTATCGAGGTACCGGCTGTCGGCAAGGGAGTGTGTCCATTGTGGTAATGGCGTATTCGACATCTATGCAGACGTATACAATATTTGGTAGGTTATCGCCTATGGTGTCCTTCCACTTTGTCTGGTATTGGCAAACGTCGGGCGGCGAACTCCCGATTTCTGCAAAGCGGGTATCAGTCAGAATAACAGAGAAAATGGCGACCTTTGTTATCGTGAGCGTTATAAGAGGTGATATAACACCGGTCTTTATAGAGACAATTGACGAGGAATTGACGATGCAACAAAACGGGACGGCCAGATGCCATATACACAAATCCAGTAAACAGACAACTGCGACTGGGAACCAACAACACGACGGTTTGAACTCCGTCGCAAAAGAACAAAGACGTGAGGATGACTACCCACCGGGGGCCGACTACTTGAGTGTATCAAGAAGGCTGATATGAGTAACGTGCGTCAGTTAGCCCGATTTAATTTGCAAGGCAGAACAACAAGGCAGCTGCACGAGGGGCACGAAGAAAAAGAAAGAAATTAGGAAAAAGAAAAGCGCGAAGTACCGTCCAAACAGAATGGATGATTGCCGGTACAACTCACACTAAGGAATGGCAATACCAATGTACAAAAACAAAATAAAAAAAAACTTAAGTGTGTGCAACAGAACGTCTGATGACCAATTTCAGTCCTGGAAAAAGAGAACAGAAGATTCACAACGGTCATACCAACCTTGGGATCCGACAATATGCCACCCTTACTGACTCTATACCAATCTGTAACCGTGCAGAGGAAATAGCGGATATGGGGAGTCGGACTGGGGATGCTTTTGTGAGGACGGGTGCGTGCCCACTGTGTATGTGTGTGGCATTGACGAGCGAATCTAACCCTGCTGCGGCGTTGCGTGCCTGACAGGATTCTAGTAAGAATATCCCCGAATCAATTCCCCCGGTTCGTTGATAAATAAATAGATAAAGAAAAAAGAACAAGAACAAGAAAAAGAAAAGAAAAAAAAAGGGGCCAATAATTATAACAGCGACAAAGGGTGTTCTCCTCTGGCCGCAGTTCTCTTTCGCTATCACCAGTTGAAGCTTCTATGGAAGAAAATGACGATAGAGGTGAAATCGTCGGCAAATGATGAGGAAGCACGAAGTGGGCCAATGACAGATGGGCTAAGTCTCGAGCGCGGTCAGTTTAGATGGTATATCAGTCAGAAGAAACATTTACTAAGTCCATTTCGCGGCGTTAGTCCCTTGCAATGACGCTACTAATCAAGAGCCGGGTTGGTGGTGGGTGGGTAAATAGATTCCAAATTCGGGCCAGGGGCGATCATGTACTGGCTGAGAAGACACTTTGTTGAGGGTCTCCAGTTAGGAGCGCCGACAGACTGTGACATGACCAATCATGATCTGGGATTCTTGGTCTGCAATAAGTCCAGTATCCTGGTTTCAAGGAAGGTAGATTGTGTTGGCCCATCCCTCTCAGCACCCCATAATTTCTTTTCGTATTGTATCTCTCAGACAACGAGGATGTTCTCCCTGATGCTGAGCTAGTCGGGCCACAAATGCATAGGCGATCATGAAATTAAGGGGATTCAATCTAGATTGAAAGTGCAAGTGCAGGAATCCCCATCCAAATTATCAGGCGACCTGGTGACGAGCGTAGGTCAATCGCGACGAACTCCAACAGAAGCCATATCCCTCATGTGCTCCACTTGACCCCAAGTATTTAGATCATGGTGGAATGACCCAATTCTATGGCTACTAGTATCACCTACCAGGATCGCTGTCCCGCTAGTGACTGCAGCTTGTTCAGATCATGCAGTGACACGGAACCTCGAAGAGTATACTGTGTATATACAGATTTGTGGGGATCTAAGCATCAGACCCGCAGTCTTGGTGTAGGTGTAGGGGGACAATACACAGTAATGTCGATAGCTAGAGAGAATTCCCTAGTCTTGCCGAGGGTTCAAACTTTCAACTGACTGTGTTAAGTCGCGGGAATCCACAGTGGCTCTCCGAACATTCGGCATGTCAGTCGTCCAATGAGAAGATGAATACAGAGACAACGCGGCGAATCCCGTCATGTCCACTGATGTGCAGGGTTGTTGACCGCAATGTGAACAGGTGTACCTGTCAAGTGTTTACTGCAATAACCCTTCTTCCCATTACCTGGTAGATCTGGGTCGCCCAACTTGCAGGGTAATGGCTACTCTCCCAGTTCAACATGAGCTATAGTGCAAAGTTTGGAAAATCAAACCGCATCAAAGACCTGGCCGTGGTGTGGACAAATATTGAATAGCCCGACAGCCATTTCTGTTAGTAACCTAAAACTTACTCAAGTTGGACGGCATATACAATTCTCCGTGATAATCCCCAGGTAGCAAACACCAACCGAGTAAAGCTGGAGGGAGCAGGAAAAAGAAAATCCCCCAGTATACGTTGGCTTGGCAAAGTTGGTCAATGGTCCGCTGCTCTATCCTTAGTGGTCTGATCCGACCGATTCCCTGCTCCAGTCGCTGTGGCTAACATCCTTATGATGTGGGGATCATAACAGCGGTCACCACCGCCACATTGCCATGCGTTCTCAGCTGAGGTTTCTGTATGGACTCCTCCATACAGGAGTCCCTGCGAGTGGATGCTGCATGTGCCCTAGGTCAAAACAGGGGCGCTACCTGTGCATTAGCATTGCAACCGTTCTTAGTGAGAAAGCCACACTGCATGTGAGGTTCCCTGGCCGGCGATGACGAGTTATGTGTCACACTTTTGACCAAACTTCGGACTCTTACAGTGGCATGGATCGTGGGAGTGTGGGACGCGAGCGAAAGTAAACTCATCATAACTCGTAAATGAAATTTGATGTGGCGCAGTTCTGTGTGACGCCTCATAGATATCCCTGCAGACTAAGATAGCGTCGGTCCTGTTCCGCAATCCATATCCTAGAACGACTAGTGGATCGACCAGAGAAGCGTGGCTTCAACCTGCGCGTACTAACGTTGTAGATGAATCACAATTTAGCCTTTACAATTTTCAAATCTGTGTCCCTACAAGGCAGGAATACATCATTATATGCACGGATGTTCGCCTCATAGAACGGTCGATGTTGTAGTCGCGCTATACGTTAGAGTTAGATAGGTCTTGCCTTCTCGACCAGGTATAAATCAGCTTACATGGGTAGACAGTATTGAGAATACTATTGAGGAGAAGTGGGGATGCAACCAATAGGCAAATGTCTAGCTCTCAACGTTGGAATCCAACGGACGACTAAGAGACGAGAATGAAGCCATCCCCACCGGGCCGAGCCCAAAAAAGCAGGCTAAGGATGCCATCCAATCACAAAAGCCAAAAAGGGCTAGAGATGATGGCAAGTCGACGCGTCCACTTAGTTACTATACTAGTAGTGAGTAGAAACAGAGGAGGTAAAGGAAAGGGAATCCGAAAGAAACCATGGGTGGTCAAGTGACTTGACCCAGAATGTCGGGATGATCACGGGTTGGTAAGCCCTTTCAACAATTATCTACGATTGTACGGACAGGGCCCTCTGGTTGCCGTGGACTACAGGGTCCCGTTGGTGTCTTCTCTCTGGTATTAACTTGTTCAAGCAGATATCTCGGGCTAATACTACCATTTCTATAATCCTTTGCATCCAGTACTGAGTATGTACATAGTACGCCCTACTTGAGCAAGCTCTGCAAGAAACACAGTCTTCCACAGATACCCACTTTTCACGGCGCACTTAACTAGGAAGCAGAGCAGGAAACTAATTGATTGCTGGGCGTCTCCCTGCTGCACTAGGCTTCCTTCGCATGGATTTACTCCTTCCAGTACTAGTAATGGAGTCCTTTGATTCGGTTTAGTCTGACAAGAGACAAATAAGAAGGGCCACCCAGATGCAGAGCGCATTAACCTTTCACTAGGTGAAGACAGGGAGGCTCATGAACCAATAGTGTCGAGAAATTGAGGTGACAATCGGGAAAGACTACGTGCACTCATTCCTTTTCCAACATTCACTCCAGTAGGGGTAACATGGCGCTCAGGGCTGTGCCTAGGGCCGAATAGACGTTATTAGAGTACAAGCCCGCAACGCTGGCATTCTGTATCTGTGTCAGGGAGGTACTCGATTCCCCGTGCGGAAGGCACGTAAATGGACCGGACAAAGAAGGGGCTTCGGGCATTTTATGGTTCAACCCAAGGCTCATAACTCACTGAGCGTAGTCCAATGTGTTAGTAGCAAATGGGCCGCCAAGGTGCTGCTATACAGCCTCCCGTTCCTTGTCGGGCGTGTCCCGTCACGTTTTAGCCTGCAGGACTAAATCTATTGATTTCCAGGTTTTCAAGTGCTTTTAACATGCGTATCGACCCACAGGTATGGATGGTGATGTCCGTAATTAGTCTACAAATCCTACTCTGTCCGCCACCTGCAGAGCACAGGGCAACAAAACGCTGTGGGCCCCCCCTGTTCTTGCAGAGGTCTATGCTCACTCGGGATCTAAAGGACGTAGCGGGGGTAATATGAGGTCACTGACCTGCTGATAATGTATATTTTATATGTATGTGAGCTCGGACTTCTTCGGCCTTTCTTCCCTACTGGATAATATCGCAATTTTCGCTGGATTAGGATTTAGGGAATAAATCTCGAAGACGTCGGAATCGAACCTTCCTTGACCGCATCTTGGACTCCTTCACGGTCTAGCGCCACCCAGAATGGCTAAAGGAACAAAATCCCAGTATATACTTACATTGCATAAGTTGATCTAGTGGAAAAGATCAACCGTACTCTCCATTACAAGTCTGCCCCGGATCTAGCAAGTTGCCATAAAGGCCATTTTGGTCTTACTGCGTTTCAGATGGGTAGGTACATTGAACGGAAAATCCGCTTCAAGAATGCTATTTTACATTCAAGACCAGATGTCATTTACTGCAAGTTTAGCTCCGGCGTTGCTGACCGTGCTGGCACGCAACCCATCTGGTAGATAACACCGATACACACGTAAATTGGCCTTATTTCACAATACCACCTGGGCATGTAATTGTGTTATTTTCTGGCGGTATATACGAGAGAAGAGAGTCAATCCACTCTGTCGACATCAGAAGGCTCCCGGGTATCATTACGGAAATAAGAAAAGAAAAGAAGGTCGAGAAGGGAGATATCCCGCCAAGAGAGGTACGGAAACCCCATGGTAATGAATGGGCCGAGATTGTCCGGCCCGAAAATTCGCATGTATTATCCATTCTGTAACCCTCCGAGCGAGTAGAAAAGTCAGGATATTTCCACGACGCTCTGTGCGGTTACCCAGCCGCAATCCTAACTGCGCCCGCAGATGCCGCAGCCTCGCAGGAGATCTAAGTCGCCACTTCCTGGCTGGCTGATATTGGGTTTACTAGTCCATTAGTTTCCGAATCTTAGACGGTCTATGGGGCTGTAGTCGAGGCCTGTGCGTTTCTCATATCTCATATGGCATACTATCAAGTACGGACGAATGCGTTAGATTAGCCCGTTTCGAATACGAGATCTGGCCCTGGGTCTGCATTCACACAGTACATTGGATAAGAATGTCCAAATGGGAGATTAATGTCCTTCTGTTCCGGTAAATCATTTCCAGGTGAGATCCTCAGAACTGCATCGAGGCCAAACGATGGGTTTGGAACGATCCACTGTTTCTCAGCATCTAGAGCTCCACGGCTTTTCCCCACAAAAATGGCAAGGAATCGACCAAAAGCACGGTCCCAAGTCACGATGTGGCCTGTCTCTTCCCAGCTTTGGGCCGCTTCTGAGGAATTGCCTTGGGCCGGTTTGGGTCTCGCGACCAGGTAGCCAAGCTGCATCAAATGTAGGCAACATTCAGTCACTAGAGATACCCCATGCCTGTGTGGTCTGACTCGAAGGAATCCCAAAGTGGCGGGAGACCACGCTTCAAACTGATCATTTCCCACAGGCAGAGAGCCGTTTGGCAATTCAATCGGAGATCGCTGAGGAAACCAAGCGAATTCATAAGGTACAGCATCCCCATACGGTATGAGGACGCGAATTTGATCCCCTTCAAATTCGTCCAAAAGGTTAGCGACCCTTCCTAAATCCAGTATCGATTTTGAGCATCCGAGTGCTTCAATCTCCGCGATTAGGCGCATATTGCTATCATACCCTGCACTGTCGCCATCAATTGTCAGGAGTGGTTGTTTGGAACTGATGTAGAGCGGATTAGAGATGCTAGTATGGACCGATTTCTGTCTATTCCAAGTAATTCCGAGTCTCTTCTCCATATCTTCTAGTTGAGCTTCAAGGATACTGGGGTATTCCTTCCCCGCAAGCTGCGGAATTGCATGGGCCACACTTTCGGCTGCAAGGAGACTTCCTAAACCCTCGAAGTCAGATAGACCTGGAAGGTTACCATTGGCGCATTTTGATATCTGTCTGAGATAAGTTACAGCCTTTCTATAGCTTCCAACATCGATAAGAGCTTTCACACAGCCATAAGCCGACTGGAAAGAGTGAGGTGAATCAGGGTGTAATCTTTTCGTCGTTCGATTCCATATGTCTTGTAATGCTCTGTCGCTCCCCAGTCTTGCGAGCAACGACAAATACGGCCCAACGGATTCAGTTGAATCTTGATGGTCGGCCCAACACATCACACTGTGTAAATTGTGCTCTGAAAAGCCCCCATCAACACTTTCTCCCGTAACTACACTTCGCATCTCACTGGTATCATGATCTGGCTCCTGAAATGGCAAAAGTTGGAGAGAAATGAGAAGAGCGTCCACAAGGGGAGCGCACGACTCTAGATCCAGCCGCGGGGGACCGAGGGAAATATAGCCTTCGAGATACCGTTTCAGAGCTGATGCCGAGAACGCAAGACAAGAATAGTACATTCCTATAACAAATAGTGAAGGCGATACGGGCGCTCTTAGTTTCTCCAACCTTGTGAGAATCCCGTTAATGGTGGAGAGTATTTCTCCGTAAGAATCCGAGCGCTGACAGCGTTCCAATGCCTGGGCTAAGAACCTACAATGCCCTGTTTGCAAAAACATCCCACCCAGTGGATCGTTGACATTTCTTTCAATCAATGAACGCAGGTGGTTAAGGTTCTGTATATCTTTTTTCATACCTTGTAACACCTCTGTCTTACAGGGAGCTGCGGTTCTTTGTCGGAGAGAGCTCCACAGCGGTGGAGGAGGTGCGGTGTTTAAAGGCCATTGCTCTGAGAAGAGTTCCTCTAGATGTCTATCCTGGGATGTTTTCGGAAGTACTCCATTATGAACCGGCTCTGTACTCCCCGTCAAGGCAAATCGTAATAGCTGAGACGGCGTGGGTTTGGTGAGTGACTCTAGAACACCCCGTTTGGCATTGCCCGAGACATGTCGAAGAGACGATTGCGACAGAGGGAGCCGGGAACGCAGTTGTCGCCTTGGCCCTAGCCACAAGCGATAATCTAAGCGTTTGGACATTCGTCACATCTAATGCCCAATGGGAACCTTTAGAGTCGCACCCGTTGTAGAACATCATCTTGGTGAAGCATATGACTATCCTGGGGTCCAGAGCACGGGCGGTAAAAGAGGCGGTGAGAAGAGTAATCGTAACGGTCGAGATCGTGAATCTCGCGCTTCCCTTCCGCTACTCTTCAATCTCCCATCTTATCTCCGATTATCTACAACCAGAGAGACGTCAACTTGAAACTGAAGGACTTCGAATAATTTATCGCCGCTTGTATCATCCGACACTAATCGCTGCGTTGGTGTTATATCATCATGCCGACTGAGCACAGCACTGAACAACCTGCGTCAAAAGTTTCCGACGACAATGAGCCCGTTTCTATCACAGCTAAGGAGCAAAATAACGCCGCTGAAGATTCCACTGCTAGCCAAAAAGAATCTCAAGGCGCAGAATCTTCAGGCAGTTTATCGAAGGTAGTGGAAACCGTGAAAGAAGACGATACGGCCACAAAAGCGCGCCAAAGACAGGAAAGATTCAAAGCCCTTCAAGCCCGTGCAGTAGGTTTTTCTTTCTCTTTCTTCCTCGTCTTTGTTCCCTAGGATATCTCTTTCCCAAGCTCATTGTTATGTAGAAATCCGCAACCGAGCGCAACTTGAAGGAAACGGCAGCCGAGACACAGCGTCTAGCAACCGATCCATCGCTGCTTTCGTCATTGTCTCGTAAGCATGCGTTTGCGTCACACAACCTACTTAAAGCCGATACGGAAGCCGCCGGTGAAGATTTCGAACGGAAACGCGCCTGGGATTGGACAGTCGACGAATCCGAGAGGTGGGATAAGCGAATGGAGAAAAAACAACGCCATCGCGATGATGTCGCTTTCCAGGATTATACGCAAGATGCACGCAAAGTCTACAAGAGACAACTGCGCGAGATACAGCCAGACTTAGAAGCTTACGAGCGAGAGAAGTTGGCAGCTATTGAGAGGGCTGCTGCTAATGGCGACTTGGAAATTGTAGAAACCAATGATGGTGAAATGATTGCAGTCGATAAGAATGGCTCTTTCTATTCCACTGCTGATACAGTAGGCTTCACTGAGAATAAGCCTGATCGAGCCGCTGTCGATAAATTGGTAGGAGACCTCAGGAAAGCAGAAGAAGTTCGACTCAAGAAACGGAGAGAACGCCGTGGCGAAGAGGACGCCGATGTCACCTACATCAACGAAAAGAACAAGCAATTTAACCAGAAGCTGGCGCGCTTCTATAACAAGGTATGCCTATAACCTAGTCACTGGTTGACCAAGATCGCTGGCTAATCGTTAATTAGTACACTACGGAAATTCGTGACAGCTTCGAACGTGGTACCATGATCTGATAGGAATACATGAGACTATATCTATAATACAGCGCAGGGCTTGTCGATCAGCGTCCAGCCATGTTTTAGGGCTATCAGGCCTACAAGCTAAAAGTGGACATTCACCCAGGCTACCACCTGACAGTCTGGAGAAGTAACCAGGAGCTGGTGTTACTTTTTTTCTTTTCCAGAGTTGAACTCATAGCATGCTTTTTCTCCAAGCGCTCGTGGCCAGAGCTTCGATTTTCTTTGTTCCTACAGCACCACGCACAGACTCGTCCTCCATCGCCTCAACCACGGCCTCGCCTACCATGTCCACCTGAAAAGGTTTGGTCACCATTGTGCCGAGAAAGTCGAGTCTATTGCCCAAAAGCTCATTGAACTGAGACCCGATGAAGCCTCCAAGTGCTATTGGCAATGTAAACTTTCTGCTGGAGTCGTACATAAATGGGGCTCGAATGAAGATACTCCGCAATTCCGGGATTTTCGTTGATATGGTTGTTTCAGCTTCCCGTTTGGTTGTGATATATCTGCTCGGAAGTACAGGCGCTCCTGCTGCGGCGGAAATGAATACAAAAGTCGGCACATGCTCGTTGGAAGTCTCTTGGGCTAGGGCAATCGCTGTGTCCCACTCAGTCAGCATTGTCTTCACTCGGCGCCTAAAATACTGTATAGCATATACGGACCAGAATCTCTGTTCATGAGCTCATAAGTCAATTGTCCATCTCTTTCCTTTGCCTTCAATGGTTCGCCTTCCTGCCTTTGTAGGGGATTTTGGCTGCCCAGTTTCGAGGAACTGAAGGCCCTTTGTAGGCCACTAATGATGGGCTCCCTTCCTTGCACCACGCCTTTGTAGTCGGCCTCAAGGAGAATGCCCATGGTGTGTACAACAGCAGTAGCACCGCTCAAGAAAGGCTTGTAGGTCTCCGGTTTCAGCATATCTGCTCTAGCCCATTCTACGGAGCCCGCCCAACTCGGACGTTCGGGCGAACTCGAAATCGCATCCCATCGTGGTTCTCCGGACCGGCTGCGACAAGAAAGTATGAATTTCGACGAACAGTCTGGATCGGTGTTATCGGAAGAGCTCGTACCTGAGAGAAGTTACCGACCAGCCTCTGGCTACGGCCGACCTGCATATCCTCGAGCCTGCAAACAAAATAACAGGACAGTCAGTTATCTATAAGAAATCTAAGCCGACACTGCGGTAGAAAAGTATACCAACCTAGAAAACCGTTTCCGCCCGCAACCACTACCCTTTTCGTAGCCATTTTCCGCGTTTGTCGCTGTCTGATTGACCCAAAAAAAATTGCAGCGACAAGAAAAACAAGTGTAAATTAGAATTATGCCCAGTGGATCATTGCGGGCGCATCTGGCCTGATCTTCGGAGCTTCCAAGCTCTGGAACCACCGCTTCCGACGACACCCCATCGTCATGCTTCCTACCGCGCTGTCACGTGCAGCTGGCAATTTCCGCGGTGATTTCGCGACAAGAGTAGATAAGATCTAGGCACTCGAGCGCACCTCTATACTTCACCAATCTAATTTTCCCTTTTTTTTTCTATTACATTAGCTTATTCTTCAAGGCGATCACATTTCAAAAATCAAATTTTACAATGCCTTCCGCAACAGCCACGAAGCGCGTGAGGGTAAGTAACGGCCATGGTCCAAAGGAAACTACAAGCTAAAGATTACACCTACAGGGTGTCTCCATCTTTAGGCCCTTTGGTACGTCCATTTTAACAGCCGATCACATCCAAGCAAGACGACATTATCATCGATAGAACGTACTCTAACCATCCCTAGTATTCGGCAGCGAAGCCAAACCCTTCGACCCAGCCAAGAAACCCCCCAACGCCCCCGCCGACCACACGCATCAATGGCGCGTCTACGTAAAAGGCGTCAACGACGAAGACATCTCCTACTGGCTGAAAAAAGTCCAATTCAAGCTCCACGAGACATACGCCCAGAACATTCGTACCATCGAACAGCCTCCATTCGAGGTAACGGAGACAGGATGGGGTGAATTTGAAATCCAAATTAAACTCTACTTCGTACCCGAATCGATGGAGAAGCCTCAAACTCTTTGGCATAGTCTCAAGTTGCATCCGTACGGGCCAGATGCGGAAGCCATGAAGGAGCGACGGGACCAAGTTATCAGCCAGAATTATGAGGAGATAGTCTTCAACGAACCTGTGGAGCAATTTCATGATCTGCTTACTGGGGGTGCTGCGTCAGCGCAACCGCAGAAAGGAAAGGGGGGGAAGAACACTAAACAAAGCGGTCAGCGGAATGTCAGGACGGCAGAGATCCCTCAGAATGACTCTCCGGGTAACCCTTATAGTAAAGCAACCGAGAACAAGGAATTGGATCGCTTGGGGGAGGCTAGCAGGACGGTCGAGCAGATGATCAAGGAGGAGAAGGAGCGACTTATCGAGCGTGAGAAGAGGCTAGCTGAACTGCGCGAGAGCGAAGGAGTGTCTGCGAACACGAAGAAGCGTTAAAATTCGCGTCTCCATTGAATGTCATACTAAAAGACACTCACTCCCCTTCCGCGTCATGCCGCGTCTCCGAGATACTTCGCTCGCTAAGCAATACGATGCACATACGTTGATTGGAGCGCTACCTATGCTCGTCAGTCACTAGCTTGGCGAAGACACGATCAGACGTAACCGCCTACAGCCAGGGAAACTGAGCTCCCTAAACCCATACTGGTGGACCAAAACTGGGTTTCTTATACCCAAACATTCTCCTAGAAGGATCACATCCTTCATTTCCTGTATAGGAACAACCAGAAGAGCTTACACCGTTCACTGAACCTACTACAGAAATGGCCTAGATGACCTAATGAATTGAATAGCTTAATCTCATCTTCAAGAAGCTGCAGTAATCGCTCCGTTAAAATGCTCGTATAATCCATAATCAATTCAGTTATGGAATTAGTCCCACACTATCCCACCGCTTACTATTGATTAATCGTAAGCATTGATCGTTATCGGTTATGTCAGAGACTCCACAACCCTAAGTGTGAGTGAATTCCGTCCTCAACATCCGTATCCGCCTCCGTCTCCGGGCCCGAAGATAACCATGGACCCTAATATCGGGTGACAATTGTGGGCCAGTTTGAAAGACGAGGAATACCACGGAACTTTAATCAGAAATGGGCAATCTGATGCGATTCGAGACCATAACAGGTGTCCACGTAGTTGTATGTCATCTGCCGCGGCATCATGACAGGCCAGATGCGAATGGGCTGGACCAAATAAGCAATAAGGGTCCGTGTATACGAACAAGTATATCCCGGATGAACCAAAAGTCAAGACTTCAATTAGTTGCATCATGGTATAGAAAAGATATAAGCATATTCCAAGCACGCAAAAGAGCTAATCCCGAGATTTCTCATGCTTGCACTCAGTCTCAATATGTACATTAGATTAACAAACAAATTTTGGTATGTAGACGCTCAATCATAACTTGCTGTCGCTTTAGTCGTATCCCGGGTTTGCTTAAGGAACGGTATCAGATCTGTCCCACCCGTACCATGGATCCCCCCGGTAAGCTTCTCGTTTTTGTCTCGCATATGGGTCGTCGTCGACGTGGCCAAATTGACTTGTGTCGATCCATTGGTTGGCGGTTTCATCTTCGCCGCCATGATGATGTATCTCGTGACCATTTGAATATGCGAGTCCCTGAAGACCCCTAGAGACATCACAGCTGTGTTATAAGCGTCTCGGATTGGCGAGTCGGCCTTATGACTGAGCGCGTAAGCACGGACATTCGAGACCCTGGTGAGCATCTCGAGGAAGCGTCGGTGAGGACCGGGCATGTAGTTTCTCATTTCCTGCGAGGGGGTAAGTTTTAGTCCTCATTCGGGCTGACCGGGATACCAGATAATACGTACTTGCATGAATCCGTTCTTAGCTCTTGGCTGAACTGCATCATTAGTCTTCATGCCTCCGGTAGCTATATGCTCCACGCCCAGGAATATGTCAAATGTTTGGATCAAGGAGCTTTGTGCATTACTTCCACCGCTGTATTGATGCCATTTTCCTTGACCTTCGCCGATGTCGTAGAAGACGCCATTAGGTAGTCCGGCTGAGGCCATGTTTTTGCTGCCGGCTAGAAGCGGGCGTAGTTGGTGGTAGAATACGGAGGGGCGGTTCTTTTCATACATCCGTTCTAGTAGTGTGCGAAGTTCCTTAAGGCCTTCGCTGAGTGCGAGGAGTGAATCACACGCACGTTGAGCGTCATCGATACTGACGGCGTGGACTGTGTCGAGTATCAACGGGATAAGCTGTGCTCCTTTTGCTTCCAATGCGACGGAGATCATTAGGAACCACTCTTCGTCTTTGGTTCCGGTGAATGAAGCCGTCACTGATAGAAGATCAGGGTCTGTGAGGTCTTCGTTGGGATCGGAGGTTTTGTAGTTCCATAGATTAAGCGCTGCGTAGGTAGCACAAGGGGGGAGTTCTAAGTGACTCGAGACTTCGAGGAATGGTGAGGATATAGCGGGGGGCAGAACCTGTATGTCCAGTTAACGAGGTGTCTAGTGATTCTGTAGTAGTGAGACTTACATCTTTCGGTTTTTCACCACCCCAGATGTAAGCATGTGTAAGATAGGCAAGTAAAAGATATGCTCTCCTCCATTCTGGCTCTCCTTGTAGTTTCGACGTTGAAAGGATAGGTAGTGCTTCTACAGCTTGCCTTATTGTTCGGAATCGTATATGGTCCGGTAGCTCACTAACAATATGCTCCCATGGCCAGTAATAAGGATTTTCCATCATCTTCAACGGGCGAGAATGAGGAAGGAAGCCATTCTGAAGTGACACGCCATATTCGTCGAGTGAGATCTCGGGAGTATAACGCATGGTGTGTGTGATAGAAAGATTATCTTGTGACGGGAAATTTTTTCTCTTGGAATTGTCTTTCGCACGACAGACTGATGTCGAAATATCTAACTCTTATACATGTTTATTAATGTATAATGGTCAGATATCGAGGGTACGACGGAAGAGGGCCGGATCAAAAAGCGGCTTCCGGGTCAGTCAATCTATGAACATAACATCACAAAACCGGCGCACACTCCGAGATAGTATAATATTCACGTCAGCAGGAACAATTATAGGAGTGCAATATGGTATGGGTCCCCTGCCGAAGAAGGGTATTGTCGGAGTGGTCCTATTATCAATACACGGATGTGAGGCGGAAGCGGATAGCCATCCGGCTTAAGCGACCAAAGGACGAGGAGATGCAGCTAACATGCAATGACGTATAAAGACACATCTGTAGTCCACGGGATTAGCAAAAAAAATCATTCTTTATAATACTTTCGAGAAGTTACCGAAGTCAACACACGATGTCTAACGTCAAATTGTCCAAGCCGGTTTTCCCTGAAATTGCAGGGTCAAAGGAATATGCGGCGTCTCTCGACGCAGCAGACCCATTGGCATCATTTCGTGATAAGTTCATTATTCCTTCGAAGGCAAACATAAATAGCAAAAAGCTTGCAAAGCCAGGTATTGGCTACCCTTCCAAATCTCTCCACAGGTTCTCGTCTGACAGGCTCCTAGGTCTCTCATCAGACCCGTGCATTTACTTCTGTGGCAACTCCCTGGGTATTCAACCAAAGGCCACAGCGAAATACCTGGAGGCACAGTTAGATACTTGGTCGTCAATTGGTGTATCTGGTCATTTCGTAGATCTTGAGGGCTCTCCCCTGAAACAATGGCAATTGCTTTCAGAACAAGCCGCAGCATCGATGAGTAAGATCGTTGGAGCACAAGCAGATGAAGTTGCAGCAATGGGAACCCTAACTGCAAACCTTCATCTCTTGCTTGCAAGCTTCTATAAACCGACTCCAACAAAGCATAAGATTCTGTTGGATTGGAAGGCTTTCCCTAGTGATCATGTAAGTATAAGTGCGCCATGTTTGACAACGGACCCCATCTCCTCAAGCCCGCGAGTATTAACGCCAATGCAGTATGCCATTGAATCTCATCTGTCCTGGCACGATCTCGACCCGAAGCAATCCATGGTTCTCATTGGCCCAGATGAGGGCGAGTACGAGATCTCCACAGAAAAGATCTTGTCTTACATTGACGAGCATGCTGAAAGTGCAGCTCTCATTCTTTTGCCAGGAATCCAATACTATACTGGACAGCTTTTCGACATCCAAAAGATCACAGCCTATGCACAGTCACGAAATCTTACTGTTGGGTGGGATTTAGCGCATGCGTACGGCAATGCTGAGCTGAAACTACATGATTGGAATGTCGACTTCGCAGCCTGGTGCACGTATAAATACGGAAATGCCGGACCTGGGGCAATGGGAGGACTTTTCGTCCATGAGAGGCATGGTCGAGTTGATTATAGCGAAGGAGAGGACGCTCCAAAGTTTAGGCATCGTCTGACCGGGTGGTATGGTGGTGATAGAAGCGTGAGGTTCAAGATGGATAATAGTAAGTAGTGAAAGACCAGGGAAGCGGTTAGAGCTAACATGTCCGAAAAGATTTCAAGCCGATCCCCGGAGCAGGCGGTTGGCAACTTTCGAATCCCTCGGCTATCGATCTTGCATGTCTCTGCGCCTCGTTGTCTGTTTTCGACGAGACATCTATGGCTGAACTGCGCAAGAAGTCCGTTATGCTAACGGCGTACTTGGAGCATCTCTTGCTAAAGGATACCACTGACGAAACACGTTCTTTCCGCATCATCACACCAGCAGATCCCGAGGCAAGAGGGGCTCAACTCAGTGTTTTACTGAAGCCCGGCTTGTTGCAGAACGTCTCTCAGAAATTACAAGAAGGGGGTATAGTTTGCGACAAGAGAGAGCCGGGCGTTGTCCGCGTTGCCCCTACTCCACTGTACAACACCTTCACCGACGTATGGATGTTCGTGAGTTATTTCAAGGCTGCACTGGACGAACCAGAGCTGAAGAATTGAATTGTGCCCTGATATAACCTCAAGATCAGTGACGGTGTGGTGAAGGTCATGTACCCCACACCAAAGGCTCGTTTGAAATGCACGCCAGTGTCTGCTGAGATATCAGGAATAGGGGCCACGGTGTGATAACATCAACATCAACCTCCACTAGTGGTATTTGGTCTCTTGGCCGCTTTCTGCTTGCCTGTTCCCAAGTCAGCTGTAATATAAGAGAGAACCTAGGCTATATAACGACCAAACATAATGAATGAATGAATAAGACAAAAGATAACTGTAGCCAAGCCGGTGGCTATTCTAGGAGACTCATATACATTTTACCTACCCGACTAATCGGGGTGAGTACAATAGGGTTATTGAAATGTACAAATACTTGACTTCGTAAGAAAAAGAGAAAGATAAATCACCGCAGCATCAAAAGTTTCCGATCCCCGCCCTATTGTCACAGTTTCGTAAGAACTCTTGTCCTTGGGAAAAGAAGTTTGCAGCAAGAATTGAGAATTCGTCGTCTAGCACATCAGGCCGCGGTGAGTTTCCTGGCTCCATAGTATACGGCGGGCCTGTAGGGAACGGAGTTTGAAGACCATACTGTGGCATGGGAGATGGTGAAAGTCCCTGTTGGGGACCGAGTCGAAATGGTTCGGGTAGGGGAGATGTTTGAGATACTTCTCCGGCAAATGTGGGAGGCTCCGAGTATAAAGAGTCGCCGAACATGCGTCTGGCAGAGTCTGAGTCGCTATTTGATGAGTATTCAAGAATCTCCCAGAAACGAGAGAGATCTATTAGTAGACTTTTATTTTGAACTCCGGATTCGGGTTGGTAGGAAGCAGAGACAGCATCTTCCAAACGTTGTAATCTGTCGGCCTGCGGTACAAATATCTCAGTTAGCCTGTTGTCTCTAATCAATACACTAAGACATACCAATCGGGCCATATACGGCCATTTCTCCCCCAGCTTCTGTACAAAGCTGACGCAGGTGAGAAACCGGTCACGCTTCTCTTGACGGATGGTGGAGTTTTCGGTAAAGCTCAGCTGTAATTCAATCGTAGCCACGACGGCGGCGCTGTACCCAAGGAACGGATCTGAAACCATGAACGACTTCTCTTCAAAATACTTTATAAAGTGTATTATCCAGGTAGTGTGTGTTGATATTAGGTCAGAGGTATGTTGCAGAAATATCTCAGGGATAGTGCTTCGAAAATTCCTCAGGCTCAGCGAAAGTAGAAGTGGATGGTTGAGGAGACATAAGATGGTATGATACAGGCACTGGTTTAGGAAGAACGGACCCCAGTAGTTTCGGTTTGCTTGAAGATCCTCGAGTGTCCTCTCAGATAAGCTAGCAGGCTTGAATCGATGGATATACGGCACGCACGTTTCTAGATCCATCTGAAGTGTGATTATCTTGGAGTATTCTGATTGCGAAGACCACGGAGGTACGTTGGTTGGCTTCCCGTGACGGCGGACATATCTAGCAGTCTTCGCAAATACTTCACTGAGCATGATCACATAGGCCACTATGCCTTGATCCTTGAGATCAGTAGTCCGAGCTCCATCAGTCTTGTCGTTTGGTGAACGAGACTGCGGCATGCTAGGACTCTCTGGGTAAGATGGGAAGCTGCCATCTGGGAGATCCAAATAGTCAAATTCCATTCCATGAAGGCGCTTGAGCAGGCAGATACTCCAGAAGCATCGCCTGCGCTCCTCTCGTGCCGCGGGCGAGAGTACAGCATGAGACTCCGATGCGAGGTTCGCACACTGTGCTAAATTCATAGCCAGGCTGCTATGGATACACGAGCGATGAGTATTTCCATCTACAAGTCCAGTTAGCATAGACAAGCCAGCTTTCAACAACTATCTTACTCGTGAAATCCACTAAGCTCAGAAGGCATAAACACTGTAAAGTTGAAAGCTCAACGGGTCCTTCTGATACCCGTCTCATCACTAAGCTGCGGGCCACTTCTGTATAACCGCTGGTGCGAGCTGCTAAATCATTGGTGTCGCGATATTGATCCTCGGCAAATCGGACACTCAAGGCAAGAATGGCGTAAATAACCTCCGGGTCACGATTTCCTAGACTACTGAGGAAGCTGTCCCTATGAAAAAGAGGGAGAGGCTGTGAGTCGCAGTATAGCAGATACAGCTCTGCAATAGCAAGGACATTTTCCCACGTCGGAAGAGGTGTGAGTTGGCTCAATGATAAGGATGATGTTACGGAGCCGCCAAGGGTAGGTGGCATAAAAGACATTGTTGTCTGTTGCTCAGCTCTTTGTTTATTCCGACTGATGAAAATATTAGTAGTTCCTTGGTATGGCCGTAATGTGATTGGCGTACCCTAAAGCATCCAGGACCTCACCCATCTTGGTTTCAAGGCTGCCTAAGCGGTCCTCCTGTGGCGTATGTTACCAGGTCTGCTTTAAAAGCTCCAGCGGATCGGTTCTTACCAAAGCTTGAGAGATCTTTATCTCTGGAGTAGATGGCACAGGGACGGGATCTCCAGCCCCAGCTCCATTTGTTAGTGATCTTCTTCCTTCTTCGGCATATGCGCATTGCTGTTGTAGTCGTGCGCACAGTGAGCAAACTGGCTGTTCTCCTGGACATTTTGCCTTCTTGCGCCTGATATTTAACTCAGTTGTTGTATTGTATAAATATGTTAGTGGACTGACCTGCACGGCTCACATGCCTGGCGCACTCGTTTTGCTGGCCGTCCAGCAGATGTACGGTTCATTTCCGTTGGCAGTTATGGCATGGATATCTGCGAGAAACTGTCAGGGTACCAAATGTGTATATAATGTGGAGTAGCATACCAGTATATACTTGATTTAGTGCGATACTCGACCACTAAACGGAACCTGTGAATAATAATGCGCCCGTATGTGCTATGTATAGCATGGCTATGTAGGAAAGTCTTATGTACTTTGCGATGCTTGTCGCCTTCTATTAGTATCGATTGAACATGATTGATATGCAGTGGCTTATCCGATCAACATCCATTGGATGCAATCGCCGTCAAAATGGCTTACTAAGCCATAAGGCAGCTCCTCTTGAAAATCATTCGGAGTCAGCTGAGAGATGTTTATAGCTATGGGCATTGTGCGCTCTCTCTAACTGTATAAGTGGAATCAAGACATAAAGGTATAATTGTCTCGTCTAGCTATTGTCCTACTACTATATAGAGGGAACCATCACACAAGTGCCGCCCGCACTCAAAGCGAGAGGAACTTACTGAATGGTTTATTAGAAAACGCAATGGATATAAGCATCATCCGAGATTAATATAGTCTATCCATGGACACAGCAAGCTTTCAGCCATAAAGTTAAGGATTGAGTTGAGGAAAGAATCCACACATTGACGCCCTAGCTTTATCTTATATACAACGTTGAATATCTTCCTCTCAACCAATCCATCTTAAAAAATAGAGATACACCGCCGATCGCAACGAGGCTCTTCTTTTGTATATTAGGACAAATGTAGCTTGGCGAGATCCTCATTTATTCCTTGCCGAACCAGGTCTTGTGGCCCTGTATACAGTGTTAGCAGAGTACCCACAATGTGTAGGTTGCTTTAGCTGGGAAGCTAGGCATAGCCCAAGGAGCAGAAGGGTTACTAACGAAGACCATGCGGATCATAGCGTAGGTGGTGGCTAAAGAAGTTAGCGTTCAAACAAAGCATGCGGAATATGCAGATAGCACTCACCAGCACCCAGGCCGTAGACGGAGAGGAGGTAGGGGTACATGACGTACTTGCTACGCTCGGTCTAAGCAGCAACGAAGTCATTAGGATGCCTTTCTTATCCGACATATCGTACAGGGTTAATCTGTAGATCAACTGACCTTCCACCACTGACGCTTGCCGTCGTGCTGCTGGAAAAGACGCTGGTAGTAAGGGACACGGTTCTCGCGGAACACGAATCTAGAGGAGCAAAAATTGAGACATCAGCTTAGGCTATATTCATTGGGGGTCGACTAGGCAAGACTAGGCATGATTCGACCAATTGAGCACCAAATTCACCGGCGGATCGGGTCTCAATTGCTAGATCTGTGCGCGGATATGCAATTTAGGTAACAATTGAAAAGTACATACCCGGCCATACGAGGGGCGGTGCGGAACATTTTGGCGGTGCGCGAAAGCGAAAGATTGAGGAAATTGAGGAGACAGAGGCGACAATGACAGGTGAAAGACTGGCAGCAGCAGTGATCATTCGATGTCGTGAGGTGTGGATCCGAATTGGGAGTTGGATATCACATGACTTTCCTGATCGCTCCGCCTTTCAGGTTCGTTGCTTAGTAAAGAATGTTCTCATGTGATTTTTGAAAAGCCTAAACCTAGAAGAGCATAGCGTGATACTGGTCTCCGTCATTGCCAAAAAGTGTCCGCGGTATCAAAGAGCTTCAGAGGCGAGTACGGCCACTCCTTTTACTCCTCGACCCTTATGGATTTCGACATATAAGGTATAGGTGAGGAGGATGATTAACATATCAATTACTTCCCCCCCACCGTTCTCCTTTTATCACTCATGCGACCGGCTCTCCTTCGATTACTGAAGAGACCATCAGCTCTCTCGGTTCTCGACTCTCTGATATCGGCGCCCATTGGAATTGAGCAGCTAGAATCCAGATACCAATGCGAGTGTTTACGACGCTACAGACAAGCCTCGCGACAAGACCGAAGTGCACAGCCGGTGGAATCAGAACAACCAGCTAGTGCTGATTTTGGTTCACGACCTGCGCGACCACCGCTTAGTTTTCGTGTATATGAGATACAAGCGCCACAGACACGATCGAAAAACAACGGACAGACAAAGGATGCATCCACTGGTGTACAAGCTACTAGCCCACCACGGGGCTTATTATTACAGCCGGAAAAACTTGAGTTCGAGTCGGATATAGGACACACTGATGGCATAGGGACTCGTCTGGTTGATGACCCGAACCGGCGGCACGACTTCGCGCTCTGGGAGGATTTGCTTCGCTATCGACAACGGCATTATGGAGACAGAGGCACATTGGATATCTGGGAGGGCTTGATGACCCGGGTGGAAGGAGTACAACTTCCTGTTTCTGGGGACACAGCGGACTTTTTCTGGCAAAGCTTTGTGGATTTGGGTTTGAAACAGGAGGTTATACTGAAGGAGCTGGCGGATTATGCTTTTGAGTTATGGGTCAAAACAGGAAGGCGATGGGATAGGATCTACGAAAGTATCGTTGGGGGGTACCTCGAACGTGGCTTGGCGCAGCAAGCAGTGGAATGGCACAAACGGCTTCGAGATCCCCATTTATCCTGTCCGAACGATATCATGAGTGTCCTTCGAGCGGCTATAGATTCCTCCAACAGATTCAGCACTGCATCTACCACCCCCTGGAAGCCCCAACGTCTTTCGATTCCCGCGGGGTTAAGGGCCTTCGAGAAGATATGCCGTGCTACACACGGCCACAAAATTTACGGCCAAGCCATATCCGCGGTGCTACAGAGTGACTGCATCGACCATGCCCCTCGAATACATAAACTCCTTGTCGAGCGAGGTGACCATCCGCAGTCATACGAGGAGATTCAGCCACTCATCGGACACATTAATGAGTATGGGTCTCCTCGGTTTATTCAGAAGCTCCATCACTATGCCAGAATTCGGTTCCCCGACCAAATCGAAGCGATCAGCGAAGACGAATCTGGCCCAGGAGATGAGGTGGCAGGGCAGCCAGAGGATCAACACTCAGAACCTCGTGGGAAAGCCTGGCTAGAGGAGAAGCCTTTCAAGGACGACTTCGGTGCCAGACTGTTCGCTACAAAAGCTCTAAGGTTTGAAATGATCCTCTCTGGATTACGAATGTTCGGCGTGACGACCATTGGGCCTCAGTCACTACGCGAGATGGCTATCCGAGCGCATGGTTGCCAGGATATAGCTGAGAAACTCCAGGAGCTTCAGAAAGCAGGTATTTCATTAGGCAACAGCGTATTTGTACGCCTCCTGCGCAAGTTAGCGACGGAAAACCGTGATATCCTCCTGTCCGATCTACTTCACAGTGATCAGCATCCAGATGTCTTAGAGGACGCTCAACTGCAAGAGTCGTTGTTGTTATCGTACTATGTCGCCCGCGACTGGCGTCCGTACAACCTAACCCTAGCAATTCTCGGCCAGATATTCGAAGACAAATCGGATCTTGCCAACGTTCATTTTCGGAAATTTTTGGCAGCCGGGGAGTGGAAGATGGCGATTCAAGTCGTTGACAACATGGCCCTACGCGGCGCGACGCTGTCTCAAGAGAGCATTGACTTCATCGCCGAACGTGTTCTCATTCCACGGGCACCGGGAAAACCACCTAGGCGCGATGATATTCCTGCTACGAAAGAGATAAAGTTTGTTTCTCACACCCTACGCCATGGCACCTCTAACGGCGACTTGGCGGTTACGGAGCTCTGGGTTGAGGTGCTGAAGCGCCTAGGGATGCTCAACCTTTGGGACGAACTCCGGAAATGCTGTTTATGGCTAGCCCGTCAATATTCTTCTAGCTCTAACACTACCCGGTCCGTCGTCTCATATCCAAAGAAATCTCAACGCGAGACAGGCGCTCTGCCACAGCAGCATGGGGACCCCTTACTCTGCAAGATATTCAGTCGAAACATGCAGGCTGCCATCGTCGCGTGGGGCTTTAGGACGCGGGTTTCTCAACAGCGGAAGTGGATGGTCACGCAGGGGGATCCATATGAGAGCCTGATCCCCTGGGTACGCGGTCTAGTACTTCTCCGTGAACTTGAAAAGAATGGGGTTCACCTCTCGGTGGCATGGATCCGCCGGGCTTGCCGACATCGCTTGGCAGTACTCTACGGACGGCAGGGGTTGGTCAATCGTCGTATGAACCGCATGTTGCGGCACGAAAATCCTTACAGTGTGGTGCGAGTCCTCGAAGATATCAATCTTGCGTGGGGAGAGCCGTCCTTGTTTGGGGACCGGGAGGTTCGCGATACTAAAGGGTTGGTAAACCCTCCCAACCGGACGAGGCGGAGAAGGATCAAGAAGATGAGGTCAGCTTACCTACAGGGAGCGGGTTACTCTCGTATGAGAGAATTGTATAATAGTAATAGTGCCAAACGGGACTAGCATGTATGAGATAATGATACCAGAACAATATATAGATAGATTTGTCTGCTCTGCGATAGATAGATTAGATAACATTCTCCTGCACTGCACCTGTTCAGATCTGTCCACTGGAATGTTTCTTCCGAAACAAACGTCAGAACCACTTGTTGTAGTACATTCTATGAGGAATACCTGATGATTGATCCTGGATGATTGCCAAGCACCCCCGTCTGGAAGGGTCGGGACCACAGCAACGGCCAAATTAGGGTTAATTGGTTGGCTGAGCCACGCATGGCGCGTCACCACAAAGCCTTGTCTTTCTAAGAATAGTCGCAGAGGCAACGCGTCCAGCAGACTCCGTCCCTAATAAAATACCGTCCCCATGGTCCACTATCACCCTCCCGATCGACGACATGCGTCTTGATTCCTCCCAGTGGAGATCCACTAGCGGTGTGTTGTTGCCTTGGGTGAACGTCCAACTTTTTATTTATCCATTGTAATTGAAGGAGTGGGGTTTGTTTCTTTGGATCGTGGTCCTCAATTTCTTCATCTCTGTATCAGATTCATAGACTGGTCGGGATTTCTCTCTGAAACAAACAAGCCTCTTTACAATTTCTTTTTTTTTTCATCAACGCCAGTACTGCTACTCCATATCGCACGGGCTATCGTGTTCTAGTCATATCAATAGTTCCATTGCATAGTACATACATATCCACCTACCTCCCTTCGTTCTCCTTTTCCACTGCACCCGTTACATATTTGACGCCGCTCATCCCTGGTTGTTTATTGTTATCATCAACATATCCCGCCGCTGTCAATATGCTAGGGTTTGGCCTCTTAGCGTTGCTTCCTTTTGCTGCTGCCGGAACGGTGCTCCCGCGGCAAACGGCATGCAATAACTCGCCCGATTTATGCTCGAAATCTTACGGCGAGATCACTCATCTGGGTGCACATGACAGTCCTTTTGTACGAGATGCTTCCACTGGCTATTCGACGTCTGGGAATCAGTAAGTTTGACGAAGGGCGATCCCACCAACCCCTGCTCTTGGTTACTAACCCTACTTCAGGTATTTCAATACTACGGTGCAGCTCGACGCTGGCGTTCGCTTGATCTCGGCTCAGGTCCATAAGAAAGATAGTGAATGGCATCTATGCCATTCTAGTTGTGAGTTGCTGGACGCAGGAAAGTTGAGCACGTGGTTGTCCGAGATCAAGAGCTGGTTGGATTCCAACAAGAACGACGGTATGTTAATCATGCATCTTATACCCTCATTCCTGTTTTCCCTGTTGGTCGATAATCAAAGATTGGCGCTGACGACGACTCCCATTTTTAGTGGTTACGTTGTTACTGGTGAACTCCGACGACGCTTCTGCCTCCGATCTCCATTCGCAATTCCAAACCGCCAACCTCGTCGACTATGCATATACACCGACCTCCCAGACTTCCGCGCCGAGCTCGTGGCCAACGTTAGAAAGTCTCATCAACAATGGAACTCGGTTAATGACATTTGTAGCATCTTTGGATGCATCCAAGAATACGGTGGCCCCGTACCTCATGGACGAGTTCACCTTCATCTGGGAGAACCCTTACGACGTAACGACCCCCTCCAACTTTTCTTGCAACCCCGACCGTCCATCCAGCCTCCAGAACGACCTGTCGTCTGCGCTCTCGTCGAATCGTTTGCCGTTCATGAACCACTTCCTCTACCAGACAGTTCTCACCCTGGAGTATCCGAACTCCAGCTACGTGTCGACCACTAACGCGCCGTCCGGCGGAACCGGCAACCTAGGCGATGCAGCCACTAAGTGCAAGGAAGCCTACAGCCGCCAACCAGCCTTCATCCTGGTTGATTTCTTCGACAAGGGCCCCGCCATCAAGACTGTCGACAGCCTGAACGGCGTCACCAATGCTGTCGGCCGCACCAACCTAACGGCCGCCACCCAGACCAGCGGCGCCTCCACCTACTCCAACGTCTTCAAGGGACTGGTTGAACTGGTGCAGAGCGCGAAACTGGGCTCCAATCCCAGCATGGGCGAATGGGTCTGGGTGGGAGGCGATTGGGGCAGCCTCCTCGGCGGCGGTATCACGCTCTAAGCGGAAGAGGTCCTTCCGACATCCGTCCATCTCGTTTCTTCATTCTCCTCCCCCCCATATCCCCCATGTTAATGTTGTTTTAATTGGCGACGCACGAGCTTGAAATCAGCGCTGTTACTTTTCGAGGCTGCAATATTTACGGATTAGCCTCGCTGTCGATATTATTGGAAAGTCACATGTACACGGGGACACAGGAAATCGGCGTTTTGGGTTAAAGCCATGACTTGACTTTTGAATATAGATGAGCCGTCTTTATGTTTGTCCATATATACCAGCCACATTCATACCATATCATGCCATGTACGTAGCAGCCTGTCAGATATTACCTAGAAATGGAATATACCCGAACAAACCTTCATCTCCCAACGAGTGCAACTAGATCATACACCTTCGAGAAAGAAAGAATCGCAAAACCACTTACTCCTTCCCCAACAACTCCCGTACCTTATTTACTTTATCCTCAAACGACTGCTCCTTATCGGTCCTGTACCACCCGAGATCAGCCCTCGTCACCACAAACAACGCACGACCTGCCAAAGAGGGGTGGAAGGCGCACACAGCACCCCAACGCCCCACAAATCAAACCCCAAAGACCAGAGGGGAAAAAAAAAAAGGAACCAACCTCGACCCAACTCTCACATCCGTCTGGATGCGCACAATCCCCTGCTGATGCAGAACCGTATGTGCCTGTCCAATAACCTGATGAACTTTGTCCCAGGGCCCCTCTAAACATGCCACACAGAGACACACAACCGTCAGCTTCGCAATCGGACCAATACCAGAAGGACAAACAACACATCATGGGCTCAGGGGTTGTGGGACTCAATCATTTCATCGCATTTCATACCGAGGGTTGTGCCAGCGCTGTGCATCACGTACTTGAGACCGGATTTCTCGATCAGGCGTTGGACGTCGGCGATTTGGGCGGAGACGGAGGGAGAGGAAGTGCCGATCTGGACAGCGAATGCGTGGGTTTTGGGTTAGTTGGTCGGGTTACATGTATACAGTTGGTTTTTGCCGGTGTTGTCGGGATTGATGGAAGGGTTTTGGAAGGAAGATTCGGATCTTACCGGGATTAGGCAGAAGTCTGCGGTGCAGTGGGCTGGTGTTGGGATAGAAGAGATGTCGGAGGAGGCCATTGGATCGGTGGTGTTACTGGGTGGGTTTTTCGGTTGGGTGTTGCGAGTTTGATTAATAGCGTGATTTTGGACAGTGGATAATCAATCAGGTTCGAATTGAAATATCAAAGTTTAATCTATGAATAGAATTGTGTGCGTGAGAGATTGTGAGAGAGAAAAAGAATTGACTTGGGATTGTCTGGTGATGTTGACGTTGTTAAACTAAGACGCGGGGCAAAATTTAATGCATGGAGGGGTAATCTATTGATCAATTCACTGTTCAGCCGGTATTCTTGCCAGGGCCATGTTGGAATCTATAGATAAAAAAAGATCAAGGGCATTCATTTCTTCTTGATCTGCCTGATCTTTTGTTCTCATAGATGTTTACCTCTGTTTATACTTACAAGGTATCAAGTCATGTGTTTGATATACAAAACACCCCCACTACTCAGCCATCAACACTAGTATTTAATGACCCTCAAGCGTCATGACCATCTTCATTGGGGCCGACAGGAACAGGCTCCACATCTGCTAAACATATACGATGAATCTGATTCGGGGCAATTTTCCATTCACAAATGGTCTTTGGTCGGATAAGCCTTGCCTGGTCGCTCCGTTGCTTTTTCCTTAATGAAATATCGATGTTCTTGTTCTTTTTCTTTTTTCCTTTTTTTTTTTTTTTTTTTTTTTTAAAAAAAAAAAAAAAATTCATACCCCAGATCGCGTCGTGCAATAAATTTGCAACTAAAACCTCTGATCCCCGTCCAAATCTAATGATCCTGGGAGCAGACTTATGCTAATCAGTGGGATCGGCGGTTTCGATGCCTCTCGCAACTTCTACAGTTCCTTCAAATCAGAATATTTACTGCCAGGGGAGAGATACAAACATGTTGACATTGATTAAAGATACAACCGAGGGTAAACAATATGATAGGAAAAAGAAAAGGCTAGAAAAGATTATCACCAGCCAGCCTTTCTCCAAGCTGACCGAACATCACGGACAAAAAGCATTAATAAACCTGCCATTGCCAACCATGGAACCGATTTGATTTTATTTAACCCGTTTAGCGGTCTTCCTCTTTATTCCTTTTTATTTTTCTTTTATTTTTATTTTTTTCCCCTCACGCTTCCAATCCACTTGTCGAACTAGACCCTGCGTCATTGTACATCTGGACGTGATCGTCAGCCCTGTTGAGGGGATTTTTCTCCCTTTTCTAACGGGTAAGGCATTGAACGTCAAACCTCAACTTCAACCTCATGTACTGAACAGGGACCGAATAACTACCTGCCGTCCCGTCTTTTCAATCCACTATTTGGTTCCATTTCTCCTATTCTGAAACAAAAACACATTGCTTTGACGGGGACTACATTTTTTTTTTCTACTCGCTCACTTGATTCTTCAAGTGCGACATTCTTTTCTGGTTCCTTGATATCTTCGTTCCTCGCTCTCATTCGCCCAGAAACGAAGCGGTGATCGCGGTTGTGGCAAACCACTGGGACATTCTCACGCTGTCGCTCTGACCTCTTGCGATTGCGCAGTCTTTCGTATAGTTCGTCTACTACTTTCTTAGCCTGGTCTGCCTTTCACATGATTCTGTGGAGAATTTTCTATTCTTCGTGATTGTTGATCCATCAGAGGATTATTTATTGGCCTGTCCCGTTGAGTACAGCGTCGCTGACCGCCTATCGTCAACGCTGTGTATAAATCGCTCTATCCTAAGCACAGTAGCTTGTCAGTGGTTCGCATTCACACTGTGTGCCCGACGCCTTACGATCGTGGTCGCATCGGACGCAACTCCTACTGGCGCAGTCCACTCACCTACGTTACTTCGTTCGCAAGGTGCATGCGACTCATCATTCTGCCGGCCGAGGTGATTTCCTGGAAACAATATCAAAGTCTCTGGTGAAGTTGTCTCGGCAGACGTGATCTGATTGGCAAATCCAGTCGCCTCAGGCTCCCAAGGCAAACGCCACGCCTGCTGATACGACTAGAACCCTGCACCACGCTGAAAGACTAGATCGGAGACTGTCCACTAAAACGTTATCGGCTGGACATTGTCTTGAGGTGAATCTCCTCCGCCTGTCTCTCCCTGTCCCAACCTAGCCAATCCGCTCCGCAAAGGTAGTGTAGCGGTATTGAGAGGTCATATAAAATTGCCCTGGAAGTTGTATCCACTTTCGTCCAAACTGAATTGGGCCCCCCCTCCCCCCCCCAGAATAATTCTGGCCAGTATAAGAACAAAAAATCCGACGCAAAAAAAAAAGGCCCAAAAATACTCGGTAGCGTTTGAGTGCGATACCGCCTTATCCTGTTTTATTCTAGGCTTTGCTGCGGTGTTGGGCCATTTTACAATCTCCTAGGAGGCTCTTTCGTCCGTGTGAGATCATTGCATCGGTGTACTTACTATATCCTCTTGCTTTTTCCATTGCGCCCCATACCACCCCCCCTGCTAGCTCCTGAAACTATTTAGTAGCAGCGCACCTAAAGTGCAAGGGATTGACGCCTGACAACGTTCGTTGGCTCTTTCCCCCGACCCTCTCAACACCATATTACTGGGGTTGTAGGTGTTTTGAAGCAATCTGCTGTGGCCATGGTTCTTCCGCACAAACTATTTCTAGTTCACTGCCTCACAACTTAACGGATGACCAAGCCCAATTTATTAGAGCTCCCAATAGGGGCTCAGCTCGTCTATCTGGCTGAGGGCGGTGCCAATGTGATATATCGCATCGTCTCCATGAAGTCAGCTATTGCATCGAAGAAAGAGTTGCCGCTGGCAGTTAATGTTGCTGGGCCGGGGGTGGTGGACTCCTATTGCGTCCCACCCGAGTTCAAAGGCAAGTTGCTTCGATTGCGAAAGGATACACCTTCCGGGATCCCCTATCAGGAGATTACTCGAAATTTCGACAAGAACATCCGCCCTCTCTTCAAGCCGGAGGAGCTGGTGGATCAGGAGCTGGTATACCTCCCACGAGGACTGGTCCAGCATTGCAATGATCAACTGCGTCTCGCCGAGATGGACGGCAGTCGTTCTAAACGACGTCAAGGCGTATATCTCGCCACTACTGAGCCGTTCGGACTTCTAATCACCGACATGACCACCTTCAACGACACAGGAATGGTTCTGGCCGAATTAAAACCGAAGTGGCTTCTACAGTCACCATCGGCGCCGGCTACTGCTCGCAGATGTCGTACTTGCGCAATGCGTGATATGAAGAACCACGAGGCATGGACGAGGGGCGGGAAACCAGACCGATCATTCTGCCCGCTCGACTTGGTCTCGGACAAGTTCGAGAACGTCCTGCGGGCCACTCGGTCAGTCAAGGACTGCAAAGACCCGAAGCGGTTGGCGAAAGTGCTGTATTGGAATGGGACAATGCAGAAGCTTCTCGCTCATCAAAGAGCACATCGCGATGTTGGGCTACACGGCCCGCCGGCGCAGTCTCGGGACAAGTCACTCGCAATGACCCTCCGAGACTGCACGATGTTCATCAAGGTACGTCATTCTTGCTATTGGCGAGTGTCCTCTAACGGATATAGATGTCGCGCGACGAAGTGGGAACGGTTGAAATCCGTCTCGGTGATCTGGATCTGAAGACTGGAGCTGGCGGCAAAGCGAAGTACTGGCTGGAAGTGGAGAAACAGTTGATCTCCGAGGGCTGGTACTTGGGGTCGACGAGCTGTTCACACCTGAGCGATTGTGCATTGCAAGGATTCCGAGGTCATTCGCAGCCGTCTATCTAGCAGTTCGACTCTATTCTAACTATTTTTTTCAAGGCCTTTAATCATTCTAATAGCGACCGACCCTCGAGTCGGACGTGTTGAGTTACGACGATAGCATGACGATAGACTGCAACTCTATCTTTTTTAATAACCTGCAAGCTACATTCGGTTTTCTACATTTGGGAGGTATTCGTCTTTCAGCTGTTCGGTCTGCATTGGTTTATGTACATTATGGAGTGCTTTAATTTATTTGGGTAATACACCAAGTCTAGAGAACAACTCAACCGTTGACCTTCACAACTACCTTTTGCAATTGCGTTCGATCTTATGTACTGTGACTTGAGTTATTAACAAACTAGATACTCTCTCCTTATTCAATCTCCCAAGATGACATATCCCAGCACTAGTAGTGACCTACTACCTCAAGCAGGCCAATCCTGCCACCACATACAACCATGTTAATCCCATCTCGATCGCAGGCCCCGAGGCCGCAATTACTTGCCTCCAACCCCAGGCATTCATGTCTATCTTACGTTACCAACCCTTCACGACCATGATATAAGTCCCTTATCGAACATACCCATGCATCTGTTATCCAGTTTCAAATACTGTACATTGAGGTTCGCTCACCATCACATACCATATAAAACCTTTAACAAGAAGGAAAAAAGACAATGACTTCCTCATAGACCCGCCCCCCACAAAAGCACAGTTCGCATAAATCCCACGTTAAACGCCAAGTACAAGTATAAATGTATACATCAAAGCCCAATATCTGACCCCATAGAAAGCACCTACAACATACAATGCTCACATCAAGCCTCCTCGAGTATCCAATAACCAAACAATACAACATCTCATTAAAACGCATACACCCTTCCTTCCCTCCAAATGACCGAACCAGAAATATATAGTCCCTATCTACCTACTTCATTCAGCAAAGCCGTTCCAATTCCGGTTGTAGTCTTGATAAAGACTAACTAGCCCATGACTCACCCAACCAAAAGCCGTGCAACCATTTCCACGAGGAATAAGAAGCTTGTCGATTTTAATCTGACTTAGTATGACGTGTTCAGGTTGGGGGTGCAATACTTGGGTTTTGCTTGGGATGCTTGTGCTTTGTATGCGTTTCTTGGTTTGGTGGTTACTGTGTGATCCATTACATTTGTATAGGATTGATAGGATATCTTGTGGTTTGGGTAGTTGTGATCTGAATGGTTCTGTGTTTGGGGTTTCAATGATTCTTTTAAGCAGACTGACTACTCATTACTAGAGATGAGTTATATTCTGGATAAGTCTATTTAGAGGTACTCGGGTGTATGATTCTACTTTTGCCCAATATACATACATAACAGCTACACGATCATATTGTCACATCACCCACCTACTGAATATACAAAGATAGTAGTAATCCAGTACATCAAGATATAACAGTGAGAAGACTCGGAGCCAACACTGATCCAACTTTTCTCCCATAAAACTATACACATAGAATATAAATTGAGATTAGATCGAGATTAGATTAGATAGATTATATATATATATATATAGAGAGAGAGAGAGAGAGAGAGAGAGAGAGAGAGAGATAGTAGATTAAATCCTGTACCTGGAACCATGTTTCAGAATGATTAATGCGTAACACTCAAAACCATATATCAGGACTCTATAACCCTAAGAGTCTAATAAATCAGTCCCGAATCTAGAACCTCTATTCCAGTCTGATTTAAACTATATCCATGCATGACTGACACTCGCTTAATCCTCTGTAATAAGTTATCATGAGATAATATACATCATATACATACAGATATATATCACACAAAGATAATAATACAAAATCCTCAACACAGACCCAACAACCTATACACAAACACATATACATACACAACATATATAATTAGTAAAAGTCCTGCCAGGAACACACACAAACATTTATACCAAGAAATAAAATAAGAATTACAACAAGAATCACCGTCTCCTCCCCGCCCCCGCCATAGGCGCCGACGGAAAATTATACTCCTCACTCCAACTATCCTTAGCCGGTAAATACAGCGCACAGTCCTTGAAGAGGTCTCGTATTGAGTGGATGAAGTTTGAGATGTGGGTTTTTAGGGACATTGTTTTCTTGTCTTCTTTTCTAATTTGTTTCTTCTTTCTTTCTTCTTGGATTTTGATCTGGTGTGATTTAACCTGATCAGGTATCTGCTCCGAGTATAAACTGACTCCTACACAATAAATAGACGGTGAGTACCCTGAATCCGATTCTTTGGATATCAATAAAAGGTATGTAGGTAGGTACCTGACTTCCCAGTTGAGTTGGGTAGATGTTGTCTTGCGGTTAGGCCTTATAATATGTACGCCTATGAATATGGTGGGTGCTGTTGTGTTACCTTGAGATAAAATGTCCGCTTTACTATCTGACGTTGACGGTGAGGGTGAGGGTGACTCGTGAGCTGGATGTGTATGTATGTATGTATGTATGTGTTTCTTTGTTTGGGTGTGTTTCTTTTGTCTCCGTTCTTTGGAAATTTCTGGATCTATTAATTATAATCAACTCTTTAATTCTATGTCTTGATTTCTTTTTCCCTTGTTTTTTTTCCCCCTTGTTTTTAGACCCTGTGTATTGGATTGGAATATCGTAGGTGGTAGGACGTACAGTATTAGATATAGCCACCCGTATCTTCAGGTACCGTGTTCGAGTTCAAACTCCCCCGGCCCAGTTGCAAAATTCAAGTACGGAAGAGAATTCCCTTCCTGGAGAGAATGGTTACAGTGACAAGAGGTGCATGGCTGGTGACGTGTCGGTGAAGTCAGGACGGATTTAAATTTATTAAATCTTCTCTTGAATAAGTTCGGGCCGGACCGAGATCGGGGAAATGGAAGAAGGACTCAGTAGTAGTAGTAGTAGTAGTAGTAGTAGTAGTAGTAGTAGTAGTAGTAGTAGTAGTAGTAGTAGTATATAGTACGAACTGCTATCATCCACGGTTCACCACCTGGTGTAACCCGCTACTATAGAGATACGAACCGTGAGATTCCCAATAGAGTACTGCTACAGATGTCTAGGCTCTCTTGACTGTCTTTAACTTTGTGCCAAGTAATGGAGGCAGTTTGCTTATCTCAGATTCCACGTAGGACTATACTACAGACAAGGAGGACCCGATTCAAAACTTTCATTAATTTTAGATTCGATTTTCAGGGCTAGTCTGAAAATAACTTGCAGAACACCGCTATACTACTATAACGCTATACCGATAAAACAACATGGGACATCCAAACTTCAAACCATATCATATGTCCAAGCCCTAGCGACCTTTACGGTACCACTCCGCTTCGGGTTCACCCAGGCATTCTCCGACGGTAGTCACTGTGTTTGTTAGCTTTCTATCCTATTACACCAGAGAGGAAAAGAAAAACATACTCTTGAACCCTCTCGCCTTGATCTCTTCCATCATCCGCCGAGCGAGACTAACCACCGTCTGCTCGTGGATATCATGAGCCAGCACAATGCTGCCACCGGCATTCAACTCATTAACGAATTTCTCATAACTGCGGTCAATCCGCGTAATATCATTATTCTCATAATCCTTAGTATCGATACTAGATTGGATAACCTTGTAGCCCAGTTCATTCATAGCCGCAAGCACTTGTTCGTTGACTTCGAAATACGGTGGCCGCATGTAGGTGGGGATATCGCCCATGGCAGACTGCAGAATGTCCTCGAGCTTCGTCATCTGTTGCACGATTTGCTCGTAGCTCAGGGATGGGAGGCTGGCATGCTCCAACCTGCAGGGGTCAGTTCTCTTCGGAACAAAAAGCCTGGGCGCTCATGTTTGGGGGTTTACGTACGTGTGTGATCCGACCTGGTGGCCTTCGCTCCTCATGCGCCTGATGGTATCGGGATATGCCTGGCTGCCCTCACCGATCATGAAAAAGGTGGCCTTAGCTCCGTATTCCTGCAGCAGGTCAAGCAATTGCGGCGTGTAGCCGGAGGGACCGTCGTCGAAGGTCAGGGCAATAGTATTCGGAGTGGTGCAGCTCCTGATGATCTGCCCGGTAGGGACGGTGGTGATCGCATTACCCAAAGGTGCGGACAGGACATTGGGGGTTAGAGTCATAAGAAGTGAAAGAGTGAAGAATTTATACATATTGTATATATGTGCGTTTAAGACGGACTCGGTATAAATGGAGTGTATAGTAAGAGCGATCACGGCAATGTCCCGGGGAACAGTAGTGTAAAGTGAACAGCGAAAGATGAGAGAGAAAAAGATATATACGAAGTGAAGGCAAGTGATTGTTGTGCAAGAAGAGGCAGGAAAGCAGTCAGTCGATGCTGCTTAAATAGTCTAATTCATCTGGGACCAAGCAAAGACTCATGATATCCAAACATTAAAAACAACTGTGAATATCCCCGTAGCGCTCTAGACGAGGTTACACATTGCCATTAAAAAGGACCAGCTCGTAGAAGCAAATATTCGATATATCCCAGTACTTATCTCTCCAGAGGGAACCCGACCTGATATAGTGTGAGCATTGACTTCACATGATAGCTCTAGATGCACCAGGCGACCACCCCATTGGTCACGGTTCGGAGATTGAGCTTTCATATCGATCAGCAGCTGTAGGTGGTCATAATCTTCCGGTACGTATATTTTGAATGCAAGGAGAGCTGGGTGGCTGGAGCAGCAGCCAGAACGAGTGACCCGAACCCTTGTTTATATAACCCTAATATCCCTGTCGTTAGATCCTCGCTTTGACCCAACACTCAAATTTCGAATAACCCATTGGCTACGAGGATATACGTATTTATAGAAAATAAACAAAGAAAGGAAGAAAGAAGGTATTCGGCGACTCTCAAATCCCGCAACATCCAAGCACAGGTTCTGCGAAGCAGTTGGTGTGTTGGCCGTCATCTTATTGCTGAAGTCAAATAGCACGCTATTGAAACCCAACGTGGAAGGGGCACATCCCCATGGGTTGCCCAGTGCCTCAAAGCTACCTAAAGATTATTCTTAGACACTCGAGTCAGCAGGGGTACGTCGCAAGGAAGGTATAAACCACCTGATAGACACGGAAAGGGATTCCCGGTTACGCCAGAGAATCATACTGTTCCTGGACAGTCTGACAGTCGAAGTCTGTGTGGCGTCTTGCAAGCAGTATCCCTTTCGCTCTGGCTGGCCTCATCCCTGTGCTCAAATGGTAAAAGGTTGAGAATCAGCACACGGGGCGCTGTCAATCTGGAGATGGAGAACTCGGAAAATGGTATCATGCAAGGCTGTATCATCACAATAAAGCTATTAACGTCCAATTTCCTTCATCTCTCAGCACCTTATAAGAATTAAGTACGAATACATGGTACACGAAGATATGAAACTATGGCAACGGAGATCCAATCACTTTTCTCCAATTATTTCCCCCTCCTTCCCGATCTCTCGCCGTGGGAGATTACCCTCTCTTGCTGTACTTCTTCATGGACCGCTTCTGGCCCCGCTCACGCTCACGCTCAAGGAACTTTCGCTGCTCCTCAGCGTTCATGCCACGCAGAATGCGTTCCCGCTCCTCCTTCTTAATCTTTTCAGCTGCCAGCTTCCTTTCCTCGGCCTTCTCCTCCTCGTCCGCACGACGGAGCTTCTTGGTCTCCTCCTCACGTGCGTGGCGGACCTTGCGCATCACCTCGGCGCGGAAGTGAGCCACGGCGACGAGCCTGTCAGCGAAACGGAGGAATTGGTTGAATAGTGGAAGGGAAGAAGCGTAGCCGGAAGTGGATGAGGGCAGGGACAAGCAGATATGAACACGTTTGCGGGGGACAGTCTCCTCGATCCTATTGGAAAAGGTTAGATAGATCGCAAGGATGTTCTTTCAAGGAACTCACTTTTGAGGCTTATCAACAGGCTGGTCAGTGACAATAAGATACTTGAAATCATCGCCGGCCTTCTCAACAGCCTGGATCAATTCCGGGGTAAGCAGCGTCTCGGTGATCTCGGCACTTTCCGTCATGACGGTTACCCAAGGTGGGAGCTTCGGGTTCTCCTTGGTGAAAGTCATAGAAGCATCGTAGCGGTCCTGACGGAACTGACGCATGTAGTTCTTGTGCACAATGGCCCAGATAAATCCATCGTAGGTCGAGTTGTTTACCTTGAGAGAAGAGGTGTCCTTAGCCGGGACCGGGACGACATCCTTCTCCTTGCCATCGAAAGTGTACGCAATCGCCTCGTAGGTCTCCGTGGGACTAGTCCAGCTCTCAAACAAGAAACCGAAAACAACATCCATCCAGTACGTGATCGGGTTGTAGCGCTTAGGCAACTTGATGGCGACGTCAACAAAGGCCACGTTCTGGCGGCCAGTGGCGTAGGAGACGAATTCCTGAGCAGACTTCTCCTTTATGATCGAATCAGGGGAGGACAGCACCTCGGCGGCCTCATCCTCAGACCTTTGGATACCATTGAAACCGACGACCGCGAACTCGTTCTGGAGAGAGGGTGCATGAGCTTGGGCCCATTCCCGAGCCTTGCGACGGTTCTTCCGCGTGCCCCAGAGGTGGAAGACCACAATCAGAAGGATGAACGGCATGACCATTGCCTCTTGGAGGAAGTCTTTGGGGGATGTCCGCTCCCAGACTCGGTACCATTTCGTATACGGAACGGCGCTGACACCCGGGGTACTCGACGCAGGAACACCAGAGGAGACAGCTGCTATGATCGAGGCAGGAGAAGGCTCTGGTGCTTTCACAAAGTCCGCAAAGTCTGGTGGTCATAACGACAACGGTCAGTCAGAGGTACAACCCCAAAAGGGGCAATCGATACCCCAATTCAATTCAATTACATCTAGACTTACCATCCTCAACCTTTACTGACCCCGACGGCTGGGAGCCGCCAAACATGTTCTTGAACATGCCCGCCATGATGTGGAAGGAAGGGAGAAATGTGAGCACTGGCGAGTTCGGGCTGTCAAGAAGATGGCGACGTGGCAGAGAAGGAGGAGGAAAGGGAACGGGAAGGTTGTCGGCTCGAATTGACGTTCGTCGCAAAAGCGATCGGGGCGAAAGTTCACTTAGTCTGTGGAGCCGAAGTCTGGGCATTTTGACATAATTTCTTGCCCGCCAAACCTGAGAGATAAGGCCAACGATGCCCCCAATCTAGCCTAGTCTTACGTTACGGATCAGGTAATGAGCTCATATCTCAGTCTCGGGTGCAAATTCCCATTCAATCAAAACTGCCGAGTCAATGGAAACATTCTGTGCAGATGCAATATACTCAAACTCAAGAAAAACCAAGAAATAAAAGCCAGATAACTCTTTTGATCCACTTCCCAATCCATATACTTACCCAGATCCGGTCCAAACCCACATATAGAATACACAATACAGAAAGAGCGAAGTGGTATCCTGCACAGACAAGCAGATAGGTAACTCACAAAAATAACAGGAACGCCAGCACTTTTGGTACAAACAAACTATCTAAACTCGCTCCAAAGAGAGTAAAACAAAGACAATATATAAAAAAAAGACAAAAAGTACAAGTCAGGCTGCCAAATTAAAAGTTATATCGTATCAGTCATTAATACCGCCAGACTCGCTGGGGAACAAAGGAAAGTGGAATGAATGTGAGGAACTCTTGAATGCAATCAAGAAGCGCTTGAGTGTATATGGCTCACTGGCCATAGGCTGGTGGGGGATATTCTTCATGGTCAGGACGGCCCCAGAACGCACCACCACAAGAGCTGGTGGGCATCAGTTTCTCGTCCCGCATGCGACGAGCAATTTCTCCTGCTAGCCGCTCAACCAGGGCTTGATCAACGGTGCTGGGGCTGGACTTCTCCTCGGTGAATGGAAGGATGGTCGAAGGCAGCTGGCGTGAGGGACCAGTCTCCTGTTTCTCATTGTCACGTCGGGCGGTAACGTGAGCGCGGATACTGCCTCGGGGTGTCGCATCCACATCTCCGGATTCAGGGCGGTATCGAAGAGGCTCCGCAGACGGCCCTCCGGTTTCGCGGAGCATCTCTGTGGCGATATCGCGACGAGGTACGGGCCGCGACAGACTGGCGCGACGCCGTTCGGGAATTGCAGGAAGGCGGAAATCGCTTTCCGGAGACAAGGGTGGCGTGATGGGGTCAGGCTGTTCGTTGACCACGGGCAGGGGTGCCGAGCATACGGAGGGGTTGCTAGCCGTCTCTGTGTATGCACTTTCGTCGCTCACACTCGCCGTATCATCCGCAGCCTTCGGACGTCGTAGATCCACCACGCGCTTCTTGCGCTTCCTTGAATGTGCTTTCGAATGGCGACCAGCTCCCAAGTTCAAACCGTAGCCACTAAACGTATGTGTCGAAGCTGACGATCGACTCTGGGACGACACGATGCTGGCGCTATCCTGGAAGGACGACATGCTGCCAACCTGAGAATGGGTCCTGGAGAGCATGGGGCTCAACGGAGACGTAGCATTGCCGTTCGGGTCCCCTTGTTCAGAAGGCGAAGTCCATGCCCGATAAACTACTTCCTGGATGGAGGGAGTGAAAAGAGATAGCGTTCGTTGAGAATCCGTAAGTGCAGCCAGCCGGAGGAGGTTCTTCTGTGAAAACAGGGAATGCGCTTCGACGGAGGAATCCAATGAGAGGGACGCGATTTCCGATTCATCCAAAGCATTGCCCAATGAGTCTACTGGATCCTGAGGAGGGCTTGCCAGCGGATCTTGACCAGGACCTTCACCCGCCGTTTGCTCCGGCTGAGCTGGTATGTCCTCGCCCGCCCTGTACTCAGGAACCCACAGTCGCAGAGATAGTCGATGGATGATGGCGGGCAGTTCGTCCATGAACAAGATACGCAGTTGAGCCTCGATTTCCCTTTGCAAGAAGTCGCGGACGAACGGGATAGAATCAAACGTAGATGAAACTTTGAGCGATTCAAGCGGATCATTTCGAAAAACCACGGTAATTCCTTTCTGTTTCGAGAAGACGAGAATCACAAAGCCGGACAACTTAAAATCGGATAGTGTAATTTGAAGGGGAATTGTGAGGGGAGTTCTAGATCATCAAGCATGACTGGTGAGCGACATCGGCCAGGGAGTGCGATCGAAGCATTAACTTACGCTGCAGCCAACGGTAGCGGCGACGCAAAAGAGGGTCGTGTGAGAAGATAGGTATTGAGAGGGTTTGCCTGAACGCGCGTTTTCAGAGTCAGGAAGGCATCGCCAGTGTAGGACATCTTGAAGATGCCTCGAAATCGATCCTCCGCCAAATCACCAATCTCTAATATTTCCAGATCTGGCGGGATGGAACCCAAGTTCAGCTCGGTTACGATGATATCGTCGACGATGATCGGGGGTTTCGGCGATTTATTCAAAGCGGCAGTTAAGAGATCTTGAGCGCGAGTATAGAAACTCGCGTCCGCCATCAGTGGCGACCAGTTGAAGTTGAACGCCATATCCGATCATTGAGAAAGGCTGGGTTGACACAGGAAGACCCACAGCGTCCAAAGGGAAGGATAATATACAAAAGAAATTAAAAGGTAATCGATAACATGGGGAGAAAGGGGAGAGAGGGAGAGAAGAGGAGAGAGAGGCGAAGTCGGAGAGAAGTGGTGGAGAGGGGAGCAGGTGTTAGCGATGATAAGCCGGAAGTGAAGGGAAAAAGCGAAGAAAAAAAGGGTTGGATTGGATGAAAAGCTCTAGAGGATTCCCGAGGGCCTCCCACAGGGTATGGACTCGCGTGATCTACGCGACGCACGAGCACTCTTGGACGGCTGAAACTTATTTCATGCTATTGCTTTTGTCTTGAGTAAGAATTATAAATAATCGCTATTCTTCTATCTTTTACTAAATGGGTTGATACTAAAAGACTTGAAAGGTTGTATTTCTCGAAAAGTCAAGTTCTAGTGTTCATCAAAGGCGGAACGGAAGAAAAAAACGAAAAAGGAAAAGGAAAAAAGGCCCAAGGGGAAAGAAAAAGTGGAAATTTTTAAAAATACGTCACACTGCGCATCTGACTTCATTTAGGTCTGGAACCAACGATTCAAATTGATATGACAAGTTCCCATCCATACTTTCTATGGTATACCTTCCGATCTCCTCCGACCGTAATTTATGAACCCTTACAACAACTTATACAATAGTAATACTTACACAGTATTCAATACCAGTCTCATGCCGCATGATCTTCATTAGCTCGCTCGTCCCGGCTAATGCTCCAACCCATTTCCTTCCGCCCATCGGCATTTACATCTCTTCTGACTGGACCTTTCTGTCAGCCACTGCATTTCTGTTCACTGACCCGGCATCTAGCGGGCCAAAAACAGCATCATCCATGTCGATCGCCTTGAATATCGCCTCCTGAATATGACATGACTCAGAACATCTACAATTTTCATGATCTTCAACTATTCCCTTTTGGCACATGGTATTAATTTACCTAACCTTCTGGATACTTTCCCCGTGGGTACCAATATACGGCAGACCAGCCATCTCACTGCCAGTGATCGCACCGGATTGGGGTCTAGATTATCACGGACTTTGAATAATAATATCATTAGTAGTAGTAGTAGTAGTAGTAGTAGTACGTATTAATAATAAACAAAATAAATAAATAACATGAAACAAAATAAATGCCTTTTATTGGGCTCCATGGGATACTCTCTCACAGTGGAAAGCATTACAATCTACGAAGTTACTTGGGGGAAAAAATATACATAAATCTTCAAACATGGGGACAAGATATTTGACGGATGCAAAATCAGCTCACAAACATCCGATTATACTTGACTCTCACCTTGTAGAATACTGCGACGCAAAGAATCTCTCTCCCCGCTCTTGTCGACTAAGGTCCAGAACGGGCCCCCTTCATTTCTCAGTAAAGCAGCCGGTGTATCAAACTCGGCTATCCTCCCCTCTCCTAAGACCATGATCCGGTCAAAGTCCACGACAGTAGACAGTCGGTGGGCAATGACCATGAGAGTAGAGTCACAGAATTCTTGACGAATAGTCTGCTGGATCAGCGCATCCGTGCTCATATCAATGGAAGAAGTCGCCTCGTCCATTATGAGGATCTTCGGGCGGGATAGCAAGGCCTGAGCTAGACACACTAATTGACGTTGGCCCTGGGACAAGTTCTTGCCTCGCTCGGAGATTGGCGAGGAAAGAGATAAGGCGGCGTTATTACAATCTTCATCTCTTCCTTCTAGCTCTGAGCTCTGCCCATCGTTCGTAGAGGATCTGAGATGGACTTTCGCTAAAGCGGCAAGGAGCTCAGAGTCTGTGTATTGGTCAAACGGATCGAGGACTGATCGAAGAGTTCCCGAGAAGATAACGGGGTCCTGTGGGATAATGGCTATCTGCGAACGGAGGGCGCGGAGTCTCATTTTAGAGATATCCATTCCATCAATGTGTAAAGATCCGGACCGTGCCTCGAGGAAGCGCAGAAGTGCGAGTGTCAATGACGATTTGCCAGAACCAGTACGTCCGACGATGCCGATGTGCTCGTTAGATTTTATTAAGAAGCTCAGCCCCCGTAGAACCGGTGGCAATTCTGGTGCGTATCCAACGACAAGGTCATTTGCCTCAATCTCGCCTTTTTTCGGCCATCCAGCTGGAGCATCCATGCCATCTTGGTGCTCACTCTCGATCTGGGTGTATTCAACAATACGTTCGACGGCATTGAAGTCCAGCTCGATCTCGGCGTACTCCGACAGTACCCAAGCGACGACCTCAGACATCTGTAAAGCGAAACTGAGAGCAAACCCTGCCACGGACGCATCGACGCCCCTAATGGTTGCGATCAGCGCTGCTGTCATGGTTACATACTAGATTAGGAAATGCATGTTAGTACTCAACCTGTACGGTGCAACTAGAGACTAAGGGCAAACTGACCAAAGCCCCGATCATGTTCAGCCGGAACATCATCCAACAGTTGAAGAGGCGCAGATGCCAGAGAGCCTGGCAATGCGCGTCCATCGTATTATACATGCGATGCATATATTGACCAACTTTATCAAAAGCTCTGATCGTCACTAGACCGTCAATGATGGATCCGAACTGCTCGAAAATAGGAGACCTGGCATTGCTCTCTATTCTTTTAGCATCTCTAGCCGCTGTGACATACAGCGAGGCGATATACCAAGACAGAAAGAGTGAGATGAATCCAAAGCCCACCATAAGCGGCGAGATAAACAGTGCTGCGATAATAACACTAAGAAGCATTAAAACACCATGGAGCATATTGGGCAGATCCAGTGCCAGATCAGAATCTAGCGTGCTGAAGTCGGCACTGAAGCGGTTGAGGATCTGACCCACAGGTGTTGTGTCCAAAAAGGTCAGAGGGGCGTGTAAGACTCTGAGCAAAAACATTTCGAAAATAGCAAGCGACCCTCGAATCGATGCCATAAAGACGAGCTGGTAGCGAAGAATCTCAGTCAAGATTGACATAAGGAAAAGACCGATGTACACGCCTAGGTAAAGCCAGAGACGGTTACCAGCGGACTGTCGATCTGAACGCGCAGAAAGGCCGTCCGAGACCGACTGAATGCTCACTTCGATATCAGGCTGTGTGTTCGCAAGATCTCTTGTCCAAACAGACACCCAATATGGTATTGCCAATTCCGCGACAAGGGTAAATCCGAAACTAAGCGCAATTGGAATCCAATACAGGTAGCCGCCGCAAGCCTGCATATATATGCTATAAATTGACAGCTTCACAGCGCCTGTCGCTCGTGTCTCAGCCTCGTAGAAAGCCTTGCCCTTAATATCCCCTTCAGATGGATTCTGCTGCGGTGCGGTCAGGCTATTAAACACAGGGACTGGTATATGACCCTGCTGCGCAGCAGAGTCAGCATTATCGATACGTTGGTTAGAGTCAGCGTTACTAGAACTTAAGTCAGGGCAGTAATTCTCAGGCTTGCCAGCAAAAGAAACACGCCCATTCTCAAGTACTACGTAATACTTCATCTCACTCCAACACAGAGTAATATGATGTGTAGCCACGATCCGCGTTCTTCCTTTTGCTAAGTTTCCTGTTAAAGCTTTCTCGAAGAGATGGTGGCCGACGCGAGCATCCACCGCGCTGAAAATATCATCAAGGACAAGGACTCCGGCAGGACTATAAAGAGCTCTGGCTAGAGCAACACGCCATTTTTGGCCGCCGCTTAGATTGACGCCGTTAGCACCAAGATCAGTTTGGTCGCCATCTTGCATAGAATTCAAGTCATCTTCAAGACAACATGCGTGCAGAACATCGTGATACCGTTCCGGATTCAGTGGGAGGCCGAACAGGATGTTTTCCCGAACAGTTCCATTTTCGATCCAAGGATTCTGCGGAACGAACGCAATTGATGTATCGATTGTCCATTCGTTGCTCGGCCCATTATAGGCAAGTGGTGATTGTCTCTGTGGAAAGAAGATCTGACCTTCAAGCAGATCTGCCTCGCCGATCGTCGCCAACAGCAGTAAGCTCTTCCCAGCACCTGCTGGACCAGAGATCACGGTGAGCTCTCCACAAGGGAATTGCAAACTGATATTGCGCATCTTAAAATCACTGTTTTCCTCTTCCATAGTGTTACAAGGCCAGGAGATCGTTGTCTGCGAAAAGGAGATTGCTTCACCATCTCTGTGGCAGCTGTTGTGTTCCGGTAAGTCAAGGTATTGCTCAATGCGTCGCGCGGCCACCTTGGCATTCATTAAGTCACTGATTGTTTCTGGGAAATTGGAAAGTGTAGCTGACAAGCTTTGAAAGATAGAGAGGGCAGTGAAGGCAATGGAGGGAGATAGACTCTTGTTGACCATGAAATACGTTGCTAGTGCAATCAAGCTCATGCAAATGGGACCACAAGACCATACGGCTATCAGTGCGAGGTCGAACTGGAAAACCCGTCCTTGTCTCTTAATCTCGTTGGAGCGTAGAGTCTGCACCTTTCTGCTCCATTGATCTTCTTGGGCATCAAATTTAATCTGGCGAATGCCCTGTAGCATCTCGGATATGACAGCCATCCTTCGATCGCTTGCTGTCATGAGCGCATCCTCTGCTTTGCTGTATTGTTGGGCCAGAACATAATTCACCGGGCTCAATATCGCTGGAACCGTGCAAGCCCACAGAACCGGCATCCAGCCCAGAAGGTTTGTAAGAAAGGCGATAGCAAGAGTGAATTGGATAATGGCATCTAGGAGGGTATGGCTGAATTTTACAAAAGTTGCAATTGTCACAGCATCGACCCCTAGAAGGTTCGTCATGGATTGTTTCGTTTTTGGTGGGCCAACCTCGCCGTCGTCGTCATCGTCGTCTTCATCATCACTGCATTCGCCGGATGATGCTTTGCTCTCGGAGCAATCATGTGAGTTCACATTCACAACTTCCTTTATCCTAAGTGCCTTGCTGAAAATAGCTGCAGATAGCTGCTCTCGAATTGGCAGTTCCAGCTCCATAGATACCACCCATTGCAGCAATGACTCCAGCCAAGATGATATGAAAAGGGATCCACCGAGACCGACCGTTGTAATCCACAGTTGTTTCTGATTATCTGCGTGAGCATCACGCTCTTCAAGCAAACGAAGGGTAAGAAACAACAAGGCTTGAGGGAGGAAATGTGCCACAGCAGTCAGCAGTTGGACGGCGACTTGCGCAATCCAGGCTGTACGGTGAATACTTAATAATTTTCTCCATATCTTGGGGTGAGTGCAAGATAGCCAACGACCATACAAGGTTTGTGTACGCACCCCATAGCCGATTGCAGGGAGATCTTCGGGTTCCAGCTGTTTGTTCCGCGCGGCTTTCGACAGAATCGGCACTGGCCACGAGAATGTGTATCTGCTTAGGAAGGAAACGGTGCGTTGACGATCGACTGGCTTGCACCCTAAATATACTTCTGGTCGACGAGAAAAAGAAACGTTGGTGAAAGATAGGATTATTCCCGCAGCAAATTTGACAGCAGCTAAGGAAACTCTCGGCCCTGATGCATTCGGGTTGGTCCACAAACCATCCAGAAATACTCCTGCGATGCTGAGCAGAAGAGCTGAAATGGCGCTCCAGATCCCTAGGTTGTACTTCTCCTGGGGTAAGGTGCGGGAGATGATAATACATTCTTGAACTAGCAGCAGGACCTGGGAGTGTTAATATGGGAATATAGATATGGTAAGAGTTCATCGTACCCAAGCGGAGAACTGTAGCCATTGCTCTATCTCTCGTGGTGAGCCATTATGACCAGTCACATTTAGGGATGACAACAGTGCAGTCAACACTGCAACAACTGCCGTGATGGATAGAATAACCTTCTGGATAATATCCGAGGTTCCTTTCTCCGACTGATTCGTTGCTATTCCATCTTCGTCTTCATAGCCACTTACGAGGCTATACCTTTGCCTATCTGTGATTGAAAGCTGCTTGAAGACGTGGCGAATATGCGGGATGGTCAGGGCTAAGATGACGGCTGGGCACAAGACAGCCTCGAAGAAGGAGGCGTCGTGCGAATGGTCCATCATAGCACAATGTAATAGCAAGAAACCGCTTTCCGTCCCTTCACATGTTGTAGGTTCACACTGATAATAAATGCCGAGTGAAAATCCTGCTGCCTGATTCTGATATTACGTGCAGGAAGACTCGAGATGAGTCTTCATGACTCAACAAGAGACTCCATACTGAATGTAACCAAATTGACTTCTTCAGGCCTCCAAGTCAGTGGCAGTTAATTCGATCAGAATTAAGAACCGTTTGCTGTGGACCTCAATTCAAGTATGATACACGGTTCAAGCCCATCAACTGGCTGCGAGTAGTCGCCGTAGGGGCCAGTCATCAGTAACAGTAGTAAGCTTGCAGGCGAGGATCCAGAGGAATTTCCCAAAGCGGTTCCCGACAGCCTGCCTGGATTTTCAGGGTCCACAGGTCAGACTTGAATCCTGCACCAACCTGTCGTCGATCTCTCCAAGGCTGAAGTTTAATTTCTTTCAAATCAAGCCAAGAAAGGAGAAAAGAGCTTATACATATCATATTAACTTCAAATCTTAATTGCAACTAGGTGATCTGTGGATGCCATATTGTATATTAGTGGTAATAATATATATCGTCTACTCCGTAGATTAGTCCCCCTTTTGTATTGTCCCTTGGGCTTTGGGCGGACAACGTATCCTTGACAGCTTAAGCTAAAGAGAATGAGTGATTACGATGTGAATCGGGAGTTTCACGCTAAATTCCGTTCGTTGACTCTATTGAAAGATAAGTTGTACACCTAAATGCTGTCATTTCATTGCCGCAGGGTGCCTCATTAGTGCCTTAACTGCCTTGGAAGACCGGTGGATGATGTTGATCAACGATGATTGGCTGAACCAAAGGGTCATTACATAATGCCGCGTTCACCAGAGCAACTGACAGGCTAGGCCCTTTACGGAAATAGATCAATAGGGCCTCCGCCAACCCCTAATGAAGCTGTTTTGAACGATTACTCTCTCGATTGAGACCTGAAGGATAGAATCAACGTTTCACGGGCTGATTTCGACTTAACAGACAGCGATGTCGTCGACTTTTACGCCCGCCTTTACAGGCGATCGTACACCCAAACTGAGGACCAAGACACACACTGCTGCGCCGAAACGAGTATATGGAAAGCGAAGAGCGGATGCCCCACGAGCTGTGTTCGAACAGAGAAGTCCGGCAAAACTGGTAGAGGAGACAACTTCGAAGGTCGTTGAGGAAGCCGTGGATCGTATCCAAGTTCAGTTAGCTGAGGTTAAATTAAGCGAAGCGACCCCATCTCAGAAAAACGAAGACACACCCGACGACCCAATTATCCCCGTTGAGCAAACAGGCCATACTCAATCTGCATTGCCAGTGAATAAACCCGAGGTCGTGTCAACTGAATTGCAAGATGACGAAGAGCCCACCGAGGAGAGCCCTCCGGACAGTGTCCCTAGACAACGGAAGAAATACGAGACGATGGTGGAAGTCAGAATCTGCTCGAGAACCGTAGCGCCAAAACCCCAAGAAGAACACGAGAAACAAGAGCAACATGGGGATCAAAAAAGGCAAGAAGAGAATAAATGCAGCGCAGAAAGTGAGAGGCAGGGCGAGAGACGAGCAAGGAGGAACAAAGTCCAGCCTCGTTTGTCATCTGGGTGTGTGATGGATGATAAAGTAAATGAATACGTTCGTCGCATCTTGAACGAGGCCTTATCGCCGGTTGCGGCACAGGGCGTCCAAAAATTTGGCTCCTGGGCTGCTCGTGCCGGAAATTTGCTGGAGGTAGTGAAGATCGCAGAAGGTTCGTACGGAGAGGTTTATAAGCTCCGTCTGCGCGAAGAGATGTGCAAGAAGGAAATGTCTAGATCCAAGCTTGCTCGCCTAAAAGCATACGGTGACAATGTGTTCAAAGTTGTACCTTTACGCGCTCAGAGTGGACCTGGCTCGAAAAAGTTTACCAGCATCGCAGAAATTGTGTCTGAAGTCAAGATGCTCAAATATTTGGACCCAATCCCCGGATTTGCTCGCTTTCGAGAGATCCATGTGGTCCAAGGTCGATTCCCAGAGTCCTTCCAGAATGCTTGGGACCACTACAAGAAGACCAAAGATGATTGTTTGAATCCTAATCCATCCAGTAAGAGAGCGTACCCTGATTCACAATTGTGGGCTATCGTGGAAATGGACGATGCTGGCTGTGAGCTTGAAAAATTTGCTTGGTCATCAACTTTCCAGATCTACGATATCTTTTGGGGAGTCGCAATGGCTCTCGCCCGTGCTGAAGAGTATGCGCAATTCGAGGTAAGTCTCAATATAAGAAGCCCTGGAGACCGAATAGTATTGACACGTATTTAGCATCGAGATCTCCATCTTGGAAATGTCTGTATTAGAAGCACTCGGCCAGATGGTTGTATGAACCCTCCTACAGACCTCGAAGTAATGAGTCAGTCATACTCAAGCGGATTTGGCTTGAGCACCCTGGAGACTACGATTATTGACTATTCACTTTCTCGCGCGGAACTGCGCGTTGAGGAGTCAGGAGAGGTTGTCGAAGTAGCATCGTCGGATCTCGATAAAAAACAGATCTTCGATGCTATTGGGCGTGATGAGGATGAAGCTATGCTGCGAGATACTTATAGATAGTGAGTGTTGCCTGATAGAGAGGAGGCTTCAAACACTGTCCGCTAACGCCCAACAGTATGCGTGCTCAGCTTTACAACGGAAACCCTCTCGAGACAGAGAAGATGCTCGATGTTCCCGGCATCTGGGCCGATTATGCGCCACGCACTAACCTTGTCTGGCTTCTCTTTTTGCTTAAGTCTTTGCTCAAGAATAGGAAGCCGGAGGTCTCGCTTCCGGCACCACGACAGCCACTCGCACAGTGTTCGCCTAACAAGGGTCTTAAGAAGCAAACAGCCAAATCGGCAAAAAAGGACAAAGTCAATACAATTAAGAGTACACAAGATACGCAGAAGCCAGTTTCCGAACTGAAAACAACACTTGAGGATAGACTACATACTGTTCTGGACCTTCTTCATCTTGAGCACGGACATGAGGACATGTGCTGTGCTGCCGACTTGGTAGCCTATGCGATTGACTCTCAGTGGCTGGATGAGAAAGACTTTTTCTGACTTTAATCTATGCATAATGGAGGCGTCAAATGATTCACTTTTCATTTTTGGTGTTACCGGGGACATATATAGACGGCTTAGCATGCATGGCGTTTACTGGGAATGTTGATTTTTACAATACCAATTACATTATCTTCCCAAGGATTAGCAGATTTTAAGTACATACTCCCATTTCAAGTGCTAGGCCAGAATATGACGAAGTTCAAGCAATTCCCCTCTCCCCCTCCCGGCCTCCCCTCCATATCAGAAACTCTCTAATACTGAAGTATGCATGACATTGCATCGGAACAGAAAGCCACCGCGACCCCACGGTACTATCACCGATATCCAAACCCCCTCCAGAGCACCCCAGAATACCTCCAATAACCTAACCACCAACAACAATGACCTCCAAATTCGAAAAACTCCTCATAAAACTAGGCAAACCAACCTGGGCCCAACACATCCGTCACGTCCAACACGCACACGGCCCCCAAAAAACCAAAATCGATCCAGAATGGGCCAAGGACATAATCAAGATGGACACCCACCTAAGGGAAATCGGGCAACGCGAGATCTATCTCCGAGAGGAGATCAAAGTGCTGACCTCGGCTGACCAGCAGCCACTAACGTCCGAGCAACGTGCACAGCTGGCCAAATGGCAAATGGAGCTCGAGGACCTGGCGAGGAAGTACTGGCATCTGGAGCGGGAGTTTTACCGGCGGGAGGCGTCTGTTCCGCCTGGGCCGTTGCAGAGGGCGTATGCTACCTGGAGGAGTAATCCGGAGTGGTATCTGTTGGGGTATTTGAGGGATGATTGTGCGGGAAGGGGAGGGTGTTGTGGGAGGAGTTGTGGGTGTTGTGAAAGGGCGAGGGATACGGAGAAGAGGATTCGGTTGGGGCATTGTACGATTGAGTGTGGGTGTTGTCGGAGGGCAAGGGGGTTTGATTTGAATCATGAAGATCGGGTGAGGTATCAGAAGTTGTTTGATTGTGATTTGAAGGAGAATGAGGCGTTATGGGATTCGTTGAAGTTGGCTTATGTTTTTGGGTTGGTCTGATACTTAGGGCTTGAGTGTTGTGGACGTGACAGCCTGCGGCGCAGAATAATGATGTTGTGATTTGAGCACCGGGAGATGGTAGGTCATACTGTTGGAGTTAATCCTGTGATATTATGAATTTGTTTTTGTAAAGCAGGCACATACCGTTACAAAGCTTCAAAATAGTGCTTTGTATTCTGCCAACAGAGATGTTTGAGACTAAAACCATGAGTTCCAGCTCCACGCTGTTCGGTCTCATGCAGTAGATTCGAAGCTTTAGGATCAGCACCACTTGTTCCTTGCCGTATTGTGGTGGAAGAATGGCCGCCTAAAACATGTTAAAAGACAAATACATGTTACTATGCTTTGCTCTATTGTTGCAGTCTAATGCTATACTAGCCCTTTCTATAATATATATGTGTAGACTGCTAAATGTCATAGCCCACAGACTGGGTGAACGAGAAACCAAATGCAGGTATCCAAGGTCACACACTGGAAAGAAAGAAGCTCAACAGACTGCCAGCAGCTAAGCCTCCTACCAGCATTAAGCTCATAAAACCACCCGCCGACTCGCGATCCTCTTCAGGAACCCATTGACCAGCACCCATCATACAGCTGCTTCCAATATAACCATTGCTAATGCCGAAAAGCAATTGCACAACGAATAGATAGAAGAAATCGCTCTTCACGACGGCCTCCCGACCGCGTATGTTACATAGAAGATAAAGGGGGAGGAATCCCATGCGAGCAATTGCAAGGATAAACAAAGCAAAAGGCCGGTGGGTTAATGATAATTGGGGAATAAGGACTGACATCCTTCCAGCCAAGTCGCCTACATTCCAGAATAAGAACGCCAGCGGGATGAAAACAGCTGGTTGGAATAAACGGGAACTACCCTGAGGGTCCCGAACTGACTCAATCTTTGCCGTGAAGACAGGAAACATCATAGTGATAGCAAAACAGAGAAAAAGTGCAAGAGCCATGAAAGGAAGCTTTTTGAAAAGACCCCAGAGGCTGACAGTCTTGCGATCCGTGTGGTCAGAAGCAGCGTCAGGTGAACTCGGCGCGATTTCGTACATAGTGTTCGACCGTCGCTTAGCAAGGGACCCGAAGGCAACCAGTGCCGATAGAGATACAAATGTGGAAGTTATGAAGTACAAGAATGCCGATTTGGACGACTCTTGTGGGACTTTCTGTTTCCCTGTTTGCTCTGGGACCGCCAAAACAGAGAGTATCTGCACGATGCAGGGCAGGACTCCTGCTAGGCCTTGACCTGCCATAATAGCTTGAGTATATTCCGGTCTCCCAAAACCGGAGACATATGCAAAAACGCCCACCTGATTCATCCCGGCCGCCAAACTGGTTCCGAATACCATAAGCATCAGGAAGCTAAAATATAATACAATGGAAGCATTCTTTAGAAGACCGGTAGATAGTGCGAGCAATGTGAAGATCACGATATTGATCAGCAGCGAAACTGTGATCTGTTTCGGGTATGACATCAGTTTCTGCATCTTCGCGAGAGTGAACGATGAGCCCAAATTTGAGACAGTCGACACAATGAGAATAGAAGACTGGTAGTGAGCCGCTGCCCACTCATCCGAGCTGAAGCGATGGTAGAAATACGGTGCAGCGGCGAGAAACATGTTCCTATGGCGCAATCTGGTCAGCATCGCGTATACTCCGGAATAACCATCTGGGCGCTAGAAAGCTGTTGTTAGGTAAGACGTACCATGCCCAGAGCATGGAAACCCCAAGGAGGAAGAATACTCCATATTCAAACCTCGAGAAACGCGGCTCTGGTAGTGTCTGAGAAGATATTAAGTGGCGATCCTCATCGTCCTGCGGAGGATGCTCGAGAGGCTCATATTCCGCCCGGGGAGAGATCCATCTCTGAAAGCGATCCATTGCTTTTTGTTATGGTGTGATATGAGTCCCTTTCTGAGAATAGAACCGGGACTTAAGATGGGATCAATCAATCCATGATCAACCTGGGAAACCTGCAGTTAAGGATGATGTTGGAAGGGAGTTGGATCTACGACCGGGGTGATCGGTAATAAGCAGGTCACCTGCCGAGCCGCTCGGTTGAGGTCACGTTGACCCGCTGTTGATCATTTGATGCGTCCTTGGCCTTTTGAGACTGGACCATAGTTATATATCTTTTTGGCAATTCCTTGTGGGGATTCTTTGCGCCTGGCAATATCGATGGGGAGCCTGAATTACAGCAGGGTTCATGGCTTAACTTGGTTTGAGTGGCCTTTTAGAGGAAGGTCCATATTCTGGGCCGTGCTTGGGTTACCTTTCAAGTACAACTAGACTATGAGCAAAGGACCCTGATTTCTCTACTGAATGGTCGCTATGACTTATGTTTATATACTTGGAACGAGACTATACCACTCGAAATTTGGTCCACAGGAAGAATGGTCGATCTGACAGATCTATTATCCAATGCGGAAGTTACAGGAGTCAAGGGGCCAATGTAAGAAGGTCCTATTACGCTTAATGCTATAGCCTATATCGAATATTGTCCTCTTTGTTGATAGTAAGCGGAGATGTGTATTGTTTTTCTCTATCCCACTTGTCTAACTGCTCAATATGTAAGAATATGCAAGTCCCATCAGTTTCAAACAGTAAAATCAAAAGGTATAGATACATCCGCGATAGTTGATCAATCTAACCATCCAAGAGGTAAGCGTATAAGTAACTGGGTGAACAAAAAAAAAATCTCTACAGTGAATAGGAAACGAACCCGCGGAGGGAATGGACAAGCTACCCTTAAACAAGGTAGGCTTTTTGTAATGACAGTTACTCGTTCTTCTGTTGCTCGCCTTGTCTGGAGGCTGCTTCCTCAGCGCCAGCTTCCTGCTCCTCTTCTTGCATCTGCCACAATTTTTCTTGGGTCAAAGGACTGACAGGAGCGTCCGTCGGAGGCTGAGAGACATCGCCACCGCTCATTTGCCATTCCATCAACTTTGTGAAGGCACCGTCAGGGCGAGAGCTGAGCTCTTCGTACGAACCATGTTCGGCGACCTTACCGTCGGGGCCGAGGACGATGATAGTGTCGGACCGCTTGATGGTGGAGAGCCGATGCGCTATGCTGATTGTCGTGTTGTTCCCGCGGAGCAAGGCAGCCAGGGCACTGTTAACTAAAGTCTCGGACTCTGCGTCAAGAGCAGAAGTCGCTTCATCGAGAATTAAGATATCAGGGTCTTTAATTAGTGCACGGGCAATAGCAATGCGTTGCTTCTGTCCACCGGAGAGCTGAGCTCCTCGAGGACCCACTTGAGTGTCGAGGCCATCAGGCTATAGAATGTCAGACGCAATCGAAAAATATATACTTTTGATCGATACTTACGAAATCACTAATGAACTGGCAGTTCGCCTTTCTGGCAGCTGCGACAATCGCAGACCTTGTTGCCTGCGGGCTCCCGTATGAGATGTTCTCTGCGATAGAGCCCGAGAAAAGAACGGGCTCTTGAGACACAATGCCAATCTTTCTCCGAAGAGATTTAGCATTCATCTCACCGATATCCTTTCCATCGATCAGAACCCTGCCCTTGGTGGGAAGATAGAATCGAAGCAAAATGGAAGCAATGGTAGATTTGCCTCCTCCCGAAGGTCCAACGATGGCAACATTGGTTCCCTGGGGAATCTCGAAATTCAGGTCTGTGAAGATGGGAACAGCAGGACGAGTGGGGTAGCTAAACGATACATTCTCAAAGCGAATGGGCCCACGAGCAGAGACAACCTTTGTACCCTTGGTTGGAGATATCGTCGGCTTGCGGTCCTGCAATTCGAAAAGCCGGCTAGCCGCGCCAACACCCTTCATCAGTTCGGAGTAGAAACTAGACAGACCAAACATGCTAGAACCTGCATAGGCTGTATACATCAGGAATGAAGTCAGCTCTCCAATACTGATAGCACCAGACCGAACCATTCCTCCTCCAACGTAAAGGAGTGCCAAAATCGTCATATTGCCCATAAAACCGGTCTGCAAATAGTTAGAATTCCGAAATATGTAGATCAGAGTGCCATGTACATACGGAACTGAAAAAAGTCGCACTAATCACCGATTCTCTTTTGCCGAGCTCGAAGATCTTCCGCACTTGGTTGTTGTACCTGTTAACCTCAATAACTTCACCTGCAAAGGACTGACTCGTTTTCACATTGCCCAAACGCTCTTCGGCAATCTTAGTTAAGTCTCCTAGGTTCCTTTGGATCTTGCGACTCAAGTTGCGAATTGCCCTTCCATAGAAGAAAGCTCCAAGGCCAATGGGAGGAAGCAATAGAGCCAGAATGCTGGAGAGCTTAAGACTGACATAAGCCATCAATCCGAAGCCTGCTGCGCCGCTCACTGCTGCCCGCAAGCCGTCGGACAAATTCTGCGTAATGCTCTTTCCGACAATAATTGTATCCGAACTAAGTCGAGAGATCAAATCACCAACTCGGTTTGCGTCGAAAAACTCTGCATCCTGGATGAACGTCTGACGGAAGAGTTTCGAACGAAGTCTAGCAACGATGCGTTCACCAACAATGCGCAGAATAATAATGCGGCCATAGTTTGCAGCAGCGCCCAAGGTGAGGACTCCGGCCAAAGCTCCATAGAACATTGGTAGACTAAGACCAAAGAGTTCACTGCCCCCTTCGGTAGCAGACTTTGTCGCTGCGTCCATGATCTTCCCAATAGAAAAGGGAATTGACATGGTGATGGATGACGAAACCAGCAAAAAGAAGAAAGCAAACCCGAGCTTCTTGGCCTCTGGCCGTGCAATGGATAGAAGTCTCCATATTTCTTTAAACCCTGATTTCTTTCCCGATGCACCGTCTTTAGCCAGCTTTGCGCTGAGATTAATTTTTGCTGCTTGCGCTGCCCGTTCAGATAGTTCGAAGCCTTTGTCTACTTCTTCATCCTCCTTTCCGTTGGGTGTATTGTTCGCCTGAGGAGTATTCGTCGATTGGGCAGTTGACTTGGATTCCAGATACCGGTGCGTAGAGGAGAAAGACCGTAAGTCGTGCGAGGGTCGCGACTGAGGAAAGACACGACTTAGAACATTGTTCTGCAGCAAACTCGTAGGGTGTTGGACACGGTAGTTGCTAGTTCTGTTGCACAATGGAGCCGAGACTCCCGAAAACTGTCGGCTTTGGCCACTGTAGACTCCAGTCACATATGTATGTGCCTGAACTCCAAGGTAAAGCTCCCTGAGAATGCTCCCTCTTGGCTGAATACACTGCCTCGCGGTGACTACTGGAGTCCAAGCCCCAAGCACCCGGACTCCGCGCATTTCGGAAATGTGAAGAAAAGCGGAATCGGACGGCTAACTAGAAGGATGTCATGAGAGAGAATAGGGTGCCATATCCTCATTAGACAAACAAAAATACAGTCGTATTCATGACAATGCAGAAGCCAATGTCCGCTTCGCAAATCAACACGGGTGTCGGAGTACAGTAGGTACTAGTCAGCTGCAGCTGGAACGCCGCGTGAAATCAGCCCGATAATCGCCGCATCGACGGAAGACGCAATCGGCGTTTGTTCTGCCATCCGACACCGCTCGGGACGGTTCCGCAGCCATCGAAGCTGATCGAGAGCTTTCGATGGGGAGCTCGATTTGGAGGCTACTTTTGTTTGGAGCCTATTTTGTTGAACTTCTATATAGTCACTGGTAATGTTCTCCATTTAACTTGACGAGCTACAAGCGTCTCTGGCCGATCTCTCTTATATAGTTCGAACACAATTTTTTTTTCTCTCTCTAGTATCTGCTACTTCATCTAGCATTTACCCCACTTGCATTACCCCTCCTGTCGAGATTGTTCAAGATGGTGCTCGATTACAGCAAATGGGATGCGCTCGAGCTGTCTGATGATTCAGACATCGAAGTACACCCTAATGTCGACAAGCGCTCCTTCATCCGTGCCAAACAGGCTCAGATTCATCAGCAGCGCATGCAACGCCGCCATGAAATTGAAACTCTAAAGTACGAGCGTATCATCAACGACGGACTTCTTTCCCGCATAGACCAACTCCTGAAGTCACTCCAACAACATGAGGGTTCCTCAAAGAACCCTGAAGAAGTGGTTTTCCAGGTTCTCATGGAATCGGCAAGCAATCCGTCAGAAGATCAACCCCCTGCCCCACCAGCTGGTGTATACACGCATGAGAAAGAACAACCAAAGTATTCTCAAATGATGAGCTCGCTGGTGGATCAGGTTAAGAAGGAAATTGGCGAGGTCAGTTCCGACAACCTTCTCAAAGCATACATCAAGGGTGTGCAGGGACACAAGGACAAAGTACAGGGCTTGCAGAAGGAATTGCTGGTGAAGCTCGCAGAACTTGAGAAGGAAGAAAGCAGCAAAATTACAAGTGATCAGATACATACCGGCTTCGACACCTCCTTTGTCGCCAAGAACGATTCCAAAGGCAAAGAAACTGAAACCAAGAAGGTGGAATCCGTTGAGCTGCTGAACCCTACTGCGGTATCGGGGTCTTCATCGCAAAAGGCTACCGCTGATGAAGAGGAAGAGGACCCAGAAAACATGAAGGCTAGTGATCTGGCCAAACGGTTTTCAAAAATCAGCCGTAACGACTACCGCACATTGCTTCAGTTCATTTCTGAGCACCCAGAAATCGTCGCAGAGAAGGAAACGGATGGTCTACTAGTCGAAGCATTCAATAGCCAAATGGAAGGTAAAGATGACTATGCTCGTACATGCGTTCACCACGGCCTACTGCTGCAGTATTGCCGCTCCTTGGGCCGTGATGGCATTTCCCTCTTCTTTAAGCGGTATGTTGCCCTTTTCCATCTAGGGAGCGTGGGTCATTAGACAGCTAACATGGACTGGCGTGCAGTATCACGACGAAAGATCATCAAGCATCAACGCTTTTCCGAAACGACGTCAATGAAACCTACAATAAGATTAAGACCCGTGCAACAGAACTTGCCAAGGATGGCTCTGCATCCAACGACCCTGCTGGTGTTGAGCAGATCCAGCTTCATGCGGTTGATCCCAATACTAAGATCACCATCAACATCCCTGCTGCAGAGAGCAGCGAACCTGTCGAAGTCGAAGCACGCAAGATTTTTGAATCATTTTCGAAGGACTTGCAACAGGCATTGAGCTCTGAATCTCTGGATGAGGTCAATAAGGTCCTCGGCAAGATGAGTGTCGAGGAGGCGGAAGACGTTGTGGAGAAGCTTGGGCAAAGCGGTATGCTCAGCCTCGAGGAGGGTATTGTGGATGCCACCACAGAAGAAGGTCGGAAAAAGTTGGAAGAGATCGAAGCCGAAAACAAAAAGGAGAATAAGATTGAGGAAGTGGGAGAGCCCGGTGGTGACATTACTGAACTTGACTAAAGAGATTATGGGGGAGACTGGTCGACTTCAATGACGTGTATATGTTTCTGCATGGTTCAAAAATGATGCATTGTCTAACCACTACTACATGTTTAATTTGCAGCGCATCTCTCTGTACAATTTGATTGGGCTGGACTTTGTAAATATATTAATTAACCATTCCTGAGTCGTCCAAGGGCTCACTTAACAATGTATTCAATTTTGACGTGCGGCGTATTGGGGGTATACCGGTATATCAGCAGCCTATGTACGGGTTGTACGGAACAAATTGCATATTATCTACCTACATAAGTTTCAAGAAGTAAAAGTTCCAATAGAAAAACACGGTTGAAAGAAAATAAAGAACAAAACGCAACCGTAATTGAGTATCCGAGGAAGAGAACGTGTGTAAAGGAGTATCTGGATCGAGAAAAGAGTGCTATGCACCTGGCAAGGAGGATATGATAATAAAGTCATAATAAATGCATTGTAATGCAAACAAGATCTAGATGCCACTGGCACCGGGGGCATTCTCATCCTTCTTCAGATCGACCAACAGCTGACGGAAACGCTCCTTGCCAGATCCATTTGCACCACCCTTGGCGCCCTTCCCAGAGACATCAACAAGTTTTGCGATACGATCCCAGCTGGTACCTCCGGAGGAAGTGTCTTCGCGATTGGCGAGGAACTGTTCGGCATCCGCACGAGTCTGAGCATGCAGCTTATCGGTCTTATTGTTGTAGGAAACGTAAAAGTCATCGATATCTTCTTGGGCCTTCTTAATAGTCGCTTGCTTCTTTTCTTCGGAGATCTCCGCACGGCGTGCAATGTCCGCATCTCGTCTTTCGCGCCATTCCCTAGAGAAGTTCGCAAGTTAGCGTCGGAGGAATGGAAAGTACGTCGTCGTCGGCTGGTACGGCCAATGTACGACAATCGTAGATTGGAATTCATGACACATACCTAACAGGCTCGGATTCCTCCTCCGGGATTTGGTAGCTCGAGAAGCCCGTGGGAGGGAAGGGAGCGCCGGTTCCAGTGATCATGCCGCCAGGCGCAACTTGCTGCTCAAGGAAATACATGTCAATTAAACAGTCTGACGTGACGACATCAGCGCTCACATCCGTACCTCATTCTGTGTCTCAATAGCTGGGAAAGAAGATTCAAATCCGGAGATCTCGGGGGCTGCGCCAGCTGGAGCGTCCTCCGCACCGCCCAGTAGATCGTCATCGCCAGCATTTACATCTTCGGTGGTAGCAACATGGTCTTGAGGGGTAGCAAACTGCTCTGCATCGTCACCTAGAACAGCTCGCTCGCGGGCTAGGAAGTCATCGGCATCCGTGCCGTTGGTCTCCACGACTTCAGTCTGGCCTAGGTAACGGTTAGTACATACATACTTGGAATGGAGGGATTGCATGTGGGATCCTGACCAGCGGAGAAGTCTTCTAATGAGGGGAATCGATCGGCCATGGTAGTTGTGAGTCTGCCAGAGCCTGTTCTAAGTGTACAATGACCTCTTGATTAAGGGAGATGGTAAGGGGAAGTTGACGGGAATGTGATGGTCCAGCTGGCGTCTCGAAGCGGTACAGATGGGGTGTTGATTGTCTCCCGGGGGGATGATTCTGCCGTTCAAGGCGGTGAGTGAAGCTGAGGAAGGTGTAACGGAGCTTCACAGAGTACTTCTTGGTAACAAAACACCTCCACATCCGTCTTAATTCAGAGCATATTGCCACTTGGCCATTGTTCTCATTGCTTATGTATTACATTGACTTGTTCTAATATCAAAGATTGGTACTGTTCGCATCGCAAAACAATCAGTGACGATATCAGCAGTTGTAGCAAGACCTCTTTCTCACTAAGCTTCATTTATTACCAAAACAAAGGATCAATTGCTTCAACCCGATTCCTGTCATAGTTACAGTATGGCCTATACAGACGATGCTGTGAAAGCGAAGCTTTCTGCCCTCAATGAAACCCAGGAGGGTATTGTCACAGTTGCGCAATGGGTTATGTTCCACAGGTAACTACACAGCTGGCTATAATCGTTGGTATTGTTTAACATCTTTGTCTTATACTAGGCGACATGCTGAGCGTACTGCGCAACTTTGGCTACAAAAACTTCGCGACTCCCCTGCGCCAAAGCGATTGAATCTGATATATCTTGCAAACGGTATAGTGACGGCGTTGCCTAGTATTCAGATCCGTTTAGGCGCTAATGCAGGCTTTAGAGGTTGCGCAACAATCAAGAGCACGACGGAAAGAGGATTTCTTGATAGCATTCTCACCAGTGAGTTCAACAGCAAATATTACGGGGATTTGGGTTAATATAATGAAGATTATCGCAGAGGCGACGGCTACTGCGTACAAAGGTGCTTCGAATGACATCCAGCAGAAGCTCCGACGAGTAGTAGAGGTCTGGAGACAACGGGCGATCTTTGAGCCACCGATTCAGGACGCAGTTGAAGCGCGCGTAGATGGTAAGCCTGGTTCAGCCTAAGCCTCATAAATCGATGTGATCCACTGATTATCAGGCAGAGATTGATAAATCACGCTCCATCGGTAAAAAGCCGCCTCTGGGCGGGTCACTCTTCTCGAGCTCGTCTGGCTCAACGCCTTCTGAGCTTCAACCCCTTGTTCCACTACAAGTAGCTCTATCAAAAGCTACGGTAGCCTCAGGTGCATCCGCGACGACGGCTAATGCTGAGTACGATAAAATGCATGACCCCAGTACCCCTTTACCGACACCTCCAGTACATGCCGCGCGGCTCAGCCAGCTATTGAAGGCACTTGCGAATGCCGAGAGCTCTGTCTCTGAGGTAATAAAATCGCGAATAGCACTCATTGATGGTCTTGAGAAACTTCTTGAGACTAATCGCTCGGCGTTGGCGAAGGAGCAGTCTCTGGCTACTCAGCTATCAGAAAGAAGATCGGAGACTGAGGCGAAGAAACGCGAGGTGGAGGATGGAATTATGAGAGGGCTATCCGCTGAAAATTCGCCGGCCGTCAATCTTGAAGACCCCGAGGGAGAACCCCTCACTCGTCCAGAAGTTGAAGCTCTTACACCCCCACCCGTGGAAGCTCTTACACCCGTTGGATCGCCAAAACATGAGCTGCAAGAGATGGATTTTGCTGCGCAAAACCATGCTCAATCTCATGCACTGACTGCGGGCTTCGCGTTGCCAGGCTTCGGACTTACAGCAGAAACTGCTCAAAGCAGTCTTCAAGATGACCCAAATGGGCTCCATCCTAAGAAACGCAAGGTCGTTCATGAGGAAGAAGACTATGCTCAGTTTGCCAGTGGTGATCTGGACGCCGATGTCGCCGAGTTATTGCAGCAAGAAAGCAATCTTCCCAAGTAAGATTAGTTGGCTCTCCGTGAAAAGCTTAGTTGGCCGGCCCTTTTCGATGTCATCTTCTAATGGACCCCTCATGGAGCTCTTTCCGGTGACCGTGTATCTCTGAAATGTCGAGAATGGGGAGAAAAAGCATGAGGTGTCATATCCCAGTGATTTTTTTTTGATATACCTTCTGTGTTATAGGTTAGTAGCTACTGTTCCGTATCGAGAATTTACCTTGCATGTACCTTGTTGTGACATGGTAGGCTTTATTGTAACACTCCTTTGACTTATATTATGAATTACTATCATGGTATCTGTTAAGGGCTAGAGCTATCGGTGTATGTCAGGATCCACCCATTTGCTTCGTGCAGCTGGAGCCAAAGACGGGCGCCTCTTCCGTCTATAGACAGTTTCGAATGTTCGGGGAAAGACAACAGGTGGTTGTTCGTTCGATTGAGGAGTTTGCTGGGGGGTCTCTGGAGCAGGCGCTGGCGAACTACTAGCATGTCGTTTGGGTTTGACCAGAAGTATTATGAACAATCCTGCGACAAGAATAACCAATAACAGAAGGATTTTGCGCTTCGTTGTACGCCGCTGATAATTAGTGGCCTATAAATAGCACGGCTATTTAGCATCATTTGTGAGACATACAATATGACACTTATCGAGACTTACCACTTTAAGTTCCTTATCAGCAGCTTTGACTTCTGTATTCATTTTCTCTACATTATAGTCGATCCTGTCCAGCATGGTACCTTGGTCGATAACCATTGCTTGTAGTTCGCGGAATATGTCTGATAGCTCAATGATACCTTTGGCGATATCGTTGATTTCCCTTTCTCGCTGCATGATGGCGGCATCATTCTCTCCCCTGAGTCGCTGTGATGTTTGCATTAGAGTTGTCTGAGAAAATGACTTATCTGCATCGGATTCCATCAAAGAGGGATCTGTGTAAGGATTCTGCATGGGTGTTGGAGATCGTTCGAACGGGTTCGCTGCACCCTCCAGCCCTCGCAGCTCTATCAAGAACACCGTTAGCTCTAACATGTATGAGACACAGCGGCGGTCTCACTCTTTAAGTATGTGCTTTGTTTCTTCCTGAACCGAGCACTAGCCTCTTGGACACGTGCAGCCAGAGATATCTGAATATTTTTGGCCATAGTCTCATCCCCGCTGCTAACACCACCCTGTTGTTTTGCGTCGCGCACCATCAACTCAACCTTCTGGACGGCCTTTTGGCATTCATGAAAGGAGCGCGTGATCTCCTGCGTGAGCCGCTCGATAACACTTTCATCTTGTTTCCTTACTTCTTCGTCTCCGAATCCTGGTAGAAGGTGTTTTTGGTGTAGCTTATCCAATTGGGCAGACTTCTGCGCAATGTCGGCAAGTAACTCCGTCACCTCTTCCTGCACGTCGACCCAGCGCGGAGGAAGCACATCCATCTCAATAATTGTATCGCCATCGTCATCTAGGCCTCCTGAATCCGATATAAGTCTGCGGCTTTCCTCTGGCTGTGATAATGAATCGGAGAAGCCATTGGATCCTCCGATATAGCGAGGCTTCTTGGCCGGATGATGCGCGAATGATTGACGGTAGGAGATATATCTGAGCGAGAGAGACGTTAGTTCTTCCGTCAGTGACCATGCTGTATATAGAATATCTAAGAGAAATCGTTTACAAATTCGTACGGTCTCGCCACATTGCGAAAGGGCGGAGTATCTGGGTGGCTTTGCGGTTATCTTCTCAACGGAGTGTCCTTTAGGTTGTCTTGATCATTGTCGGCCAATGGCTTAGGTCAGTCGTTGGCCGCAAGTCTAGCCCGAGTATAAAGAAAGGGCGCTTTGATTCGCGACAGGGGTAGAGTCATAGAAAGCAGAACTGTTCATCATATAGATACCGGATACACACACGACCATCAATACTTCCGTAGCTCGATCTCCGGAGACGGCCCACGTGAAGGGAGACAGGTCTAGTCCTAACTCGGGTTAGCGGTATCAGGTCCCGCGGGTATATCACGTGATAATATCTCCGTAACGGTCCTGTAATTAGTGTGGCTCCCCACAAACATCTCGACCCATGAGGCTTTTAGACACTAGGTATGTAAGAGGGATTATGTTAACAAGATATAATAGGTGCATGTATGTGTACTGGGCAGAGGAGAAAGGTACCACATTTAACGATCAGATTTATCTCTAGCACTGATAGAGAGTATATTGAAGACTACCATGAGAGACTATATTCGGACTGCTCGCTGGGCCTTGTAACTCCGTAATATGATGAATATCAAATTCAATTCATCCATACAAGAGAGTACGGACTTAATATTATAAGTCTGACTCGCATAAGAACACGGCTCAAACTGCCGCATGCTGTTATGTTGGTGGTTATCATTAAATCCAGATGGGGTTCAGGTACCTGAAATTGCCACCACTCAGGACCAGTAACCGAATATTCGCTTGCCTTCAAGCTTTCCCGTATGAATGAATGGCGGGGTGCCACGCAGCCTCGTCAGCGGCTGGATGTGTGTGTAAATCTACAACAGGCATACATATGATATGGAGATATACTTAGAACAGGACCCTAGTGACAGACTATCGATTTGATGATCTTAGTAGTGCCAAAATCTTCACCCGTAGGCTACAGCATTCAAGAAGAGAAATGATCCCAGACAGCTGAAGAAAGAGATCGGGCAGTGCTTGCCCCTACCTTCAACCATTTCTCTAGAGGGTGCTCGGAGCATGTTATGGCTAAGGCGGTCACGTTTTGCGACCGCCTTGTGAGGCGCTCAGCTCTGTGGTCGGCCGGGCTGGCCATTTATTATGATTGAAGTAAGTCGGGTCGGTTCCCCTTAAACAACGCCCGTCGTCCCAACCTTCCCCCCACCACTATCAGCGCGGTCACTTCTTGAACCTCCCACACATTCTCATTTCTTTATATCTTTGTTCCTCTCCATATTTTACCATCACTATTTACACCCCCCTCCTACATTCACCATGGTATGCCATCCTTTCTTCCACCATGTCCAGTCGTGTTGAAAATCCCCCACTTTGCGGGGCAGATCGTCTGGCATTCTGAACGAAATTGCTGACAGCGCATCCTCTAGGCCGACTCTTTGACTGAAGAACAGGTCTCCGAGTACAAGGAGGCCTTCTCCCTATTCGTAAGTCATGATCATCGTTCGCGAAAATCGGTTTTTATTAGTCGTCTTTATTTGAACACAAGCTGACTGGGATTCTCTTGGGTTTCCTATAGGACAAGGACGGTGATGGTTAGTACAGTTATATTTCATTCCGTCTCCCTTCAAGTGCGACCAATATCTTTTAGCCGCCATAATTTTATCCATTTTCTGTTCGATCGGCTGAAGTCTTGGCATTGATGGATTGACTTGATATGCAGGCCAGATCACCACCAAGGAGTTGGGCACTGTCATGCGCTCTCTGGGCCAAAACCCGTCTGAGTCGGAACTCCAGGACATGATTAACGAGGTTGACGCCGATAACAATGGCACCATTGACTTTCCTGGTACGAGAGGGCTTCCGTACGATTCACAAATAATATAGCTGTTAATATTCAATCAGAGTTCCTCACGATGATGGCGAGAAAGATGAAGGATACCGACTCTGAGGAGGAGATCCGGGAGGCTTTCAAGGTTTTCGACCGCGATAACAACGGTTTCATCTCCGCTGCCGAATTGCGCCACGTCATGACCTCCATCGGCGAGAAGCTTACTGATGACGAAGTTGATGAGATGATCCGCGAAGCGGATCAGGATGGTGACGGTCGGATTGACTGTACGTTTCGAGAAGCCCTCCCACACCTATTGCGGCTGTGAAACCGGTGATACTGATCGATTTTAGACAACGAGTTCGTCCAGCTCATGATGCAAAAATAAGCGCTACCTTCCTGTATATCCCGCCAATTGATAGCGAAAATGAGCGAGAGCAAAGAAATCTATTCCTCATGTCTCATTCCCGTTTCTGCCATTGCTCGTAGTCTACTGAGGCCGACATCCGCTGTCGATGGCAGTTGGCCATGCGTACTATTTTAGGCGTTGTCTTTTTCTCGCGGGATGAATGCAGTTGGATGGATTTAGACTGAGCTAAACAATTCGAGATGATGAGATGGTGGTGTCTGAAACCGCCGAATGTCTCTTGTTCGGCATGCCCGCTTTTGGCTTGCAATTTTCTATGCCATTTTTCTTCGCCCTTTTCTCTGACCTACTATTTACGATTATATACAGCCCTTTCGCGTTCCTGGCTTCTGCTCTTAGGCTCTTTGATCCCCGTAGCAGGTTTGGCTGCACATTTTTAGAGAAAAAAAAAAAAAAAAAAAGAGGTCCTCTGCATACCCCGAATTACTTTATTGTTTCTCTACGTTTTGCTAGACATAAGCTGTTATCTATCATACCTTGAGAAGTTGCTAGGTTTAAATGGTATTTATTCGCTAGGAAATGAAGGAACTCAGGTAAAGACCATTAATTATCCATAAGCTGTGATGTAACGTTCCGCACCCTTAGCGATTAAATCTAAAAATTTCCATGAATTGCCTCGCCACATCAACTCCAGCGTCCGGGTCGGGATCTTCATCCTGCTGCCCGCTTCCCATGACACTGGTAGATGGTTGGCGTGCTTTCTGATCTCCTAACTGCTTCAACTTTCGCAACTGCTCTTTGGATTCCCTGCCGATATCCTGCACAAGAATTGCTTCCCGCGCCCCTTGAATATCCAAGCGCGCCCAGAACTCTCGAATTAATGTCGCAGTCGCAGCATATTCAGCATCAATATCTGCCTCCTCAAGACCCTCAGGAAACGCCATGTCGATCCTAGAATCACCGTCGTCATCTGGTAAGCCGCTATCTCTAGGGCCGCTGAACGCCTTCTTGGACAGGCTAAACAGCGACGCGATGGACGTCACTAACGACGGACCCTTCCATTCTATCTCAACAACCGTACCCCTGACTCTTGCAGCTGGTTGCGTCTGTCGTACATCACCAATTCGGACCCGAAAATCACCAACATCATAGACGACACCGCCAGGAACCGTAACGGTGTGTCGATGGCACCAGAACGGTTGGCAAGCGTAAACAAAGTGTTGAAAGAGTGTACTGCAAGCCGGTAATGGAACAGTCGTCATAACCATTGACGAGTGATCCTGACTGTTCAGTGCCGTAGCCTGTGTAGGTGTCGCGGTCTGTTGTGGAATTGGGGTTGGAGAGGCGGGACTCGGTGCCCCTGGAGCTACTGCACCAGGACTCCCGCCGCCGGAATGAGCGTGGGGCACCTTTTCTGGGGGCGGAGACGTGTAGATAAACCCATGATTTGGAAAGTAGGTTAGAGAGAGGAACTGCATGTACCTCGGTTGTGCGGGACGCTGAGACGCTGATGCAGGTAGACAGGATGGGGTATCCCGCATCAGCTTGTGCTCTAGAGCCCAACGGCCCACAGGAATGGGTTCATCGGTTAATGATGAATGAAGACGCTCTGTAACTGTAGCGAACGCCGTGGAGGCGTTGGGGTTTGATGGGATGAAGAAGACCCTGTTGCTGTCAGCATCGCGATCGAAAAGCTTGAAAGCCTCCAGGATCTCCTCAGAGTCGGTATGTGCGATTTTGAATGGAAGCGGTGTCCATACCCAGTGATTGGCATCTTGATAAAAACTCAGAATGTTGATAGGAGTGGTTCCCCAGAGGTTATGTCTCTTAGATCCAGGTATCTGCGTATATATCTTGTATCCAAATAGACGGTTGAGAAAATGATACCAAGTGGATCCAAAGCCCAAAGAACCAAATATAAAAGATGGTAATGTAAATATAATAGAGTCTACGCTCGTCTGATACAGCCATTCAGCAGCTACCACAGTACATAGTAGACCGAGTTGCGACTCGCATGTGACGGTCTAGCTTTGTCAGTGACTATGCCAATGAAGCTGAAGCATGCTGGTTGGGTTCCATACCTTAGTAATTGCTATTGCTGGGAACGATATATTTGATTTCAGATTTAATTCAGACTAAATGAGTGCCAGGAAGGTGATATCACCTGATTGGATCTGACCGACGCCAATAGGCTATGCTATGATATAGTTTATCCAGTAACACTTCCGTATATAGCAATCGTCGATCTTGGGAGCAAACTGTGGTTGCCCGAGGCATCAATGCAAACAAGGCAAACTCTTTGCCAAGAGTGACACACGACACCCATCCCAAACCATGGTTGAGCGCCACTAACTTACGATTTCATCTCCACTTTGAGGAAACAACTTTATCCAAAAATCCACAACTTGTTCCAAATCTCAACCTGGACATTTCCAGCTAATTTATCGATTTGGTCTGGTACCACCGCATTGACATTCTCTCACGCCACATTCCCAATAATCAAAAGTACCTTCCCTACGTCCACAGCCAAGACGCGGCAAAAAGATATGCTGAGACAGTGGAGCACAGGGGCATTCTGGAGGCGGGATGTCATGTTAAGAATAGCACATTTGGCTGGGCTAAGCCTTCCCCTTCCAGGGCCCTAAAGCTCTAAGGGTCCCAGGGACCACTTTGATTACGCAATGCCCACTGTATCATTTTCTTGACCAATACTCACTTCGGCAGGACACCGCAGCCACACCTTTCGCACAGGCTCCCCTTCCCGATCAACATGCCAATCATTGCCTAGATGTTTGATAATGGAAAGCCATGCACTTACAGCAGGATTCCTGATCAATCGCCTCCATACTCACCTGCCAATCAATGTGAAAGGACAGGTCGAGCCAACGGCGATCACTGGGGCTAAAATGCTACAACGTACTCCAACTCTCCATATTAACAAAGAATTAATGTCTGGGGTGCTTTGTTCATTCCCCCTTGATGGATGCTCTAGGCTTTTCTCTTCCTGACTTGGAAATTTTGAGTCTCTTCTCTTCCCTCTCCAGCATTAGAAGTGCTACTCTAACCTCTGAGCATGCTGTATTTACATTCCTTAATGTTGTGTCATTCGTTTTCGGCCTAATTTCGAGCTTCAAAGAGCTCATTAACATTCTCTTGCCCGCTGTCCTTCCACCTTTTTAACTAAGGCTACTTTTGTGGTAATTCGGTCCTTTTTCACAACATGCTTTGCGTTCGAAAAAGCTATTTTCTTCCAACATTTGTCTTAGTGTTCCTCACGTATATCCTTTTCTCTAGTCTACCGCCAGGCGCGGAGATACCGTACTTTGACGACCCCGCAAAATATGGACCTCCTCCTCCAAGGCCCCCTCCGAAGGGCAACGACCTAATCCATTATAGAAATCCCACTGAGCAGCACCCGGTGGAAGAATATATCCCCCTTCCAACAGCTACCCCGTCTCCTATTCCCCGTATCCAGTATGAATTTCCTGCGGAATCATGGTTCACTCGCAGACGAAGGGTGAAGAAGCAGAATGCCGTGCGGAATGCCTTCAAACACGCATGGAATGGATACAAGAAGCATGCGTGGCTACGGGATGAGCTCTCGCCCCTCAGTGCTGAATATCGAGAATCATTTGGTGGATGGGCAGCTACCCTGGTTGATTCTCTCGATTCACTTATCATCATGGGGTTGACGGACGAATTCGAAGATGCGTTGCAAGCAATTGAACAGATTGATTTCTCGACCACTGGCGCCACGCAAATCAATGTATTCGAGACGAATATCCGATACCTAGGAGGATTTCTGGGAGCTTACGATCTAACCAACGGAAGTTACCCCATACTTTTGAAGAAAGCAGTAGAGGTTGCCGACCTGATATATGGCTCGTTTGATACTCGCAATAGAATGCCCCAGTCTCGTTGGGAGTGGACAAGGTGAGATCGGATCCTTGTTGAAGTGGCCAAAAATGCCATGTGAGCAGTACAGAACAGTGCTAACAAATTTATAGGTCGGCGCTAGGAATGGGTATTCAGCCCAGCCGCAACACTATTCTTGCTGAACTGGGTTCTCTGAATCTAGAATTCACCAGAATGTCGCAGTTAACCAAGGATCCAAAGTATTTCGACGCAATTCAAAGGATTGCCGATAAGCTGGAATCCGCACAGTCGCGCACACAAGTACCTGGTTTGTGGCCTATGATGGTCGATGCTCATGATATGGAATTCACCGATCCTCGATTCACTGTCGGTGGAATGGCCGACTCCACTTACGAGTATCTCCCCAAGGAACACATATTATTGGGGGCGCAGACGAATCAATACAGGAAAATGTACGATGCGGCGATGAACTCCATTAAGAAGCGGCTGCTTTTCCGGGGCATGACCAAGGATGGGAAGGACATCATGTTCGCAGGCAATATCCGCTCTACTTCTAAAAGCGTCATCGAACCCCAATTTGAACACCTAAAGTGCTTTCTGGGAGGGACTGTAGGCATAGGAGCCAAGGTGTTTGACCGCCCCGAGGAATTATCAATCGCGCGGAAATTGACCGATGGCTGTATCTGGGCTTATGACATTATGCCGACAGGGATCATGCCCGAGGCATTGTATGTCAGTCCTTGCAAGAACATGGATGATTGCGAGTGGGATGAGCAGAAATGGCACACTGATATCCTTCGTCGTTTCGCCAAATACTCCCAAGGGGAAGAAGCTGCCCAGAAAATTATCAGCAGCAATAAACTGCCACCAGGCGTGACTGAGATCCCGGATGCAAGTTATAACTTGAGGTATGTGAGCTATTTGTTTACCCAACATATTACTCTCGATGCATATTGATGGATGATTTAGACCGGAGGCTATCGAATCTGTATTCATTATGTACCGTATCACGGGGGACAAGGAACTGCAAGATGCTGCATGGCGGATGTTCCGTAGCATCGAGAAGATGACGCAGACTCGCTACGCGCATGCAGCTATCTCCGATGTGCGAAACCCTCAGTCAACCCAGCTGGACTATATGGAAAGTTTCTGGCTCGCAGAGACGCTCAAGTACTTCTATCTGATTTTCTCTGAGCCGGACGTCGTCAACTTGGACGAATACGTACTGTATGTATCCCCAATGTCCCAACCGGACAGACGTCCTATGACAGGCTGTTTGGGATACTAAAACCAGAGTTACTAACGCCAATCACATAGTAACACCGAGGCGCACCCATTCAGACGGCCAACCGCGTGAACATGACGCTGAGCCTTTTCACCTTCATGTCTTATGTCATTCAGATCTGGCTAGGTAAAGGGGATTTCGGCGCAAAGGAGTTACATAGAGGTATAAATTAGCAGGACTAAATTCTATCTATGGATATACAATATCACTCTCATAAGAGAGCATCATAATGAATCATAAAATACAGAGAAATATTGTAATCCCACATCTAACTCCTTCTATCGAACTCAATTGTATATTGTACATCCTTCCGAATAAACATTCTCCCTCCACTACATTCAATAGGGTCCGATCCATCCCTCTCCACAAGCTCAATAGATGAATTCATTGGTCTAGCCTTTGGCGCACCACTCTCGTCGCTCCTCAGCCTTTCATGGGTCTTCGACCATGTTCCCGACCGTGACACACGCCATCTCTCCCTCCCATCCACCACCGAAGGCAAACATCTAGTGCCTGATTTTGACGAGGAAGAATGATCTTTCGGCGTCCTCGACGCAGACCCACTCTCCAAATTCGTGTCGCCTGCTGTCCCGTAGTTCGTACTCACAGCTGCCATGAACGGCCGGAGACAAAACACGCTGCATGCAACGAGGGCATAGTTCAGCTCAACCTGGGCCCATAATATCGGTTCGACGACAGCGAGAGTAGGATCCGGTGATGAGATCTTTTGATTCAAAACATAGATATGCAGTATGGAGAAGATGACGAGCCTAGGACAAACGTCAGCCAGCTATGACGTAAATAGGGATAGGGGTTAATCCTTACGGGAGGCGAAAGAGAAAGGCAAAGCCGATAGGTAGTTTGCGCTTGAGGGGCATAAATAGACCAGCTAGTAGGGTAACTGCGAGGCCGAAAAGAAACATTTCAGTTAGAATATCCATTGCGACGATGAATTGCCAGCGTTTTAACTTTACGGGGTTGTGTTAGCTAAGTCCGTAATAAAGGAGTCGAGGATATAGACGGAAGACTTACCAGATTCACGCATTGTCCTCCGGCGCCTTTCCAGGGTCTATTTAGCTCGCAGTTGATAGCGATGATGAATACTGATGTGATTATCCATGCTGTACAGAGAGCGAGTGTAGCCCAGGAGATCCGGTTATGTAGTTTTTGGGGTGTGAGACGGAGGTGGATGCCCACTACGCAGCATTTGGAGACGTAGATGGTGATTAGGTAGAGAATGTCGCTGACTGTGACTAACTATAGGTATCTTTGTCAGGAAGTTGAACTTTCTGGACCATATTCTTAGGATTTAGGGCACGTGCTGTCTGAATGTTATCCACTTGGTCGTGCTGTAGCAGATCAATAGCTGTTCCAAATCCGTGAGACACAGCGCAGAATAAGAGCGAGCTTTGGACAACTGCGAAGATCTATTATTGTCAGCGATGTTTTCCCAGTTCTTGCCAATTCTTGTTCAAATTAAAATAGTCAGAGAGATGGCCATAGCTTACCGTCGCTCCTAACAGGACAAAGTCATCGTATGCGAAAGGCGGACTAAGCACCAGTCGCACATAAAGACGAATCAGAAAACTGACTAGCGAGACAACTAGTCCCAGAGCGCCGGTGATGATTATCCAAGCGCCATGATGGGAATCATCTACCACCTGAAAAGGAGGTGAATAGCCCGGAGGGACGTACACGCCCATGACAGCTGAGGACCTGATGGTGACCCCAGCCGATGGAGCAGGATAAATAAAGCAGATTCACCTACGGAGTATACACGGCTATTTCGTTGACTACGCCATGATTACAAGAATGAGGCTTTTTCTTTTTTTTTAATTCCCCTTTGTTTTTGCCTTTTTTTTTTTTTTTTTTTTTTTTTTTTTTTTTTTTTACTTTTTTTCCCTTGGTAATGTGTTCTAGCTAGCCTTAGGGCCAACCAGGCGTCTGAACTAGGGTGGGATATGTGATGACCCTCGAAAAAGCATCGTGCCTAACAGCTGACACGATTATCTTCGTCGATCACCCGCAGTAATTACGATTGGGCTTCGCCGCTCGAATCAGATCTACAGAATCGGACGAGGGCTCCGGTAAGCTCAGACATTTTATCCTTGCAAATATCATCACAAACCTTAGCCAAGACCAACCCTTCTCTCCCTATTTCCTTTGAGTTCGGGAATACCAGCCAGCTTCCGCAGAGCTGCACTGTCTGAAATTGACGCCAGGAGGCTGTTTGATCAAGTCTGGTATGTAGGGCTTTGCTCGTGGAAGGCCGTTTCAGCGTGGTCCAGGCTCACGCTTAAGCTCAGTCAAGGGGGTTTCCGCGCACGATCAGCACCATTCGGTCCATATTAAGCGATAAAGCTCGTGATCGATGTTTTGGCTTTCCACTGTGTCAATAGTCGACGCACGCAAACACCCATAATAACCAATCTTAAATTAGTGACGATCCCGACGGTCACACATGAGCTGACACCCGACATGCGACGTCGGGCGTGGGGGTAAATTAGCATTTATTCATTCCGAAATGCTCGTCACCATGTTGTACATTGAATAACGCCGAGCTTCGGATGATATTCTGCGTCCCTCTGTGGATAGTTGTTTATAAGAGAAAGATTTGGTTCCCTTTGAAACTCATACTCGAGGGGTCCAGTGCCATGCTTGAACCAACGCAGGCACATGTAAGGCGGACGCGAAATGGGAATTAGACTTGGAGACAATAATCAGCACCCAACGATCAACATGCCACAAAATGCCGCGCCTCGCAGACATCGGCGGTCAGGATGACGAGCTCATGCATTCCTCTTTTTCCCTTTTGAATCTTGCTGTCCCACATGGCTGAAACTATGCTTTTCACATGGGCGCGCAAACTAGAGAATATTGTTTTAGCCTCGTTTGGCGAAAACAATTCCCCCCCTCTCTTCCTCGAGACAGAATCTATCCCTACTACGATAGAACTTCCTCCATTACTCTCGAAAGATCCTCATGTACTAACTGGACCTTCGCCCTATTGGCAAATCTAGAGGTGTCTGCGCCATGGTACATGCTGCTGGCCTTAAACATGAAGCTGAGGCATTCGGCATCTCCGAGGCTGGATATGCCACTAAAGGCCTTGTTGAGCCCAAATATATGGGCACTATAGCAGACCAAAAAGATATGAATGTTCTGGGCCGAGTCCAAGTTCTGCGGGTGAGTCTGTCGATGTCGATCAACGTATAGTACTGACATCGCTAGTTTAGAGGAATTTCCGATTTATTTCAATTGTTGGGTTCGGTTGTACATTGATATCCACGTGGGAAGTCATACTAACGTATGTTTGTCTGATCCACCTGGAATTGCTTGTACAACTAACTGCTGGGCAGGTTGTTGAGTGCTGGCTTAACCGACGGTGGAAGTGCTGGCTTGATATGGGGTTTTATCATTGTTTCATTAGGGTTCGCCCTTGTATTTGCCAGCATAGCGGAGATGGCGTCAATGTGTGCTCCATGGTTGCTTCATTACTATTCGTGGGTGTCAAGCTGACGTTTTCCCAACAGGGCTCCGACATCTGGGGGCCAGTATCATTGGGTATCCGAGTTCGCGCCTCGTAGATACCAAAAGTTCCTGAGTTATATCACCGGTATTCCGTGTCAAAACCCATCTTCACTCTTCAATTTACTAACGATAATAGGCTGGCTCTGCGCAATGGGATGGCAGTGCGCTATTGTATCCATTGCATTTCTTGCCGGCACTATCATCCAAGGTTTGATTGTACTCAACGATTCGACGTACGATTTTCAACGTTGGCACGGCACTCTATTTGTAATAGCTATTACAACATTTTCTATTCTTTTCAATACCTTTCTAGCTAAGAACCTGCCCATGGTAGAAGGCTTGATTTTGATCCTTCATGTCATCGGGCTGTTTGCGATTATCATCCCTTTGTGGGTGCTTGCTCCCCGGAACAACGCCAGAGCTGTTTTTACTGAATTCAACAACGGAGGAGGATGGAACAGCCCCGGTACTGCGACACTGGTCGGCCTATCGACTACCATTACCTCTATGATCGGATATGATTGCTCTGTGCATATGTGTAAGTGGTGACCTTTACAATGTATGTGCAAGTAGCTAAGTTACAGGAACAGCCGAAGAAATTAAGGACGCGTCAAATACATTACCCAAAGCAATGATGGCTTCTGTTGGTGTCAATGGTGTTTTGGGCCTCATCATGATTATTACGCTTTGTTTTACCATGGGCGACGTTAACAGCATCCTCGCCAGCCCAACTGGTTTTCCGTTCATACAAATATTCTACAACACCACCAACAGTTTCACAGCAGCAAACACAATGACCGCCATCTTAATTGTGACGTTGACGGCCAGCACTATCACAGAGGTAGCAACAGCGTCCCGGCAGCTGTGGTCCTTTGCGAGAGATGGAGGGCTCCCCTTCTCATCCTTCTTCTCCTATGTACGTTGTCATCGACGGTATCACTAGATGTTATTCCATCAAGTCAGAAGATGAAGAGCTGACATGGTGAATTCGAAATAGGTCACACCGGGATGGCACATCCCACTAAACTCAGTGATGGTCTCTCTTGCAGTCACTATTCTTCTCTCATTGATCAACATCGGTTCCACTGTCGCTCTTCAGGCCATAGTGTCTCTTACAATTACCTCTTTAATGTCTGCCTATATTCTTTCTATTGGCTGCGTCGTTTTTAAACGAATCCGAGGCGAGCCGCTTCCGCCCCGAAGATGGTCTCTTGGCTCTTTCGGTATGGTCATCAATATTACATCTTTGCTGTTTCTATTCCCGATCTTCGTTTTTTCTTTTTTTCCCCTCACTGCGTCAGTTGACAATAAGACGATGAATTGGAGTGTGGCTATGTATGTGGGAGTGCTCGGTTCTGCGTCGGTCTATTACTTGGTTCGAGGGAAGCATCAGTTTATTGCCCCAGTGGCACTCGTCAAGAGGGAAGAATGATGTGGATAGACTTGGCTATTGTGGGTTTGGCAGCGACTTATAATGCACATCACCGAAATCACACAGTAAGGATGCATTAATGTACAGTACCTTCAATGTTGATAGTATTGCTCCATGAATTGTGGAATTGTGAATATGTTCTATTGAATCTTCTCTGCTGTCCATTCCTCCATTTGCATTCCCATATTTATAATCTATTGTAAAATAGGTAATACTTCTATCTCATCCCCAGGATTCGTATTATATCATCCAGCCCACAGCCTCTATCAAGTCTACTCCACTTTCGAACGCCAACCTTACTCTGCCTCTTCCTTCTGGAGGCTAGCAAGCCGGAAGCCATGAGCCTTGGTACCTACTGTTCCAGGAACTGATCCCAATAATACAACATTAGGGGTGCAAAGTACTACTGAACTTGGTAGATTTCTCTACTCAACAGCACTAAACGTAATTTCTGGAAACAATCGACATACCTATTAAAGAACCGACTCATGTATCATCCCGCTGCTCATACTTCCTCTACTTAAGGAATATGGGGCTGTTTTATCACAATTTTCGAAGCGTTGGATCATGGCGAGCTTTCAATACTGGAAGGACATCCCTTAGAGGAAAGTCAACATTTCCATTCCAATATACAAAGCCAGTTGACACCTTCGCTAAGGAAGGATAGAAAAGATACAATAATGCTGGCCAATTAACATATACTGGTAAACGAAATAAGTACCTTGCGACTTCAACTGCAGTGCTCAGTTTATAGCTTCTACCATCCCATGGGCATCAAAAACAGCATAACCAAGCCAGGGCTCTTGTTTGTCGCAAAGAACCCATGATTCCCCTCTAGAATTACTCCTACAAGTAACAAGTTCTAAGTTGCTGTGCACGCATTTGGCCTGGTCCGGTTTTCTGGCAGCTAAGCCCTCTTTATGAAGTCCTAGCAGACGCATTCCAGTTTGACTCCGTGCGTCTTCATCACAACAGCACGGTAAGGAACCTCTTTCTTAGTATTGGTAGTCATCAATTTATGGCTAACTTACTATAGTACTCGTTGATTACATTGCGGTGGGTTCCAATCAAGCGCAGCAAATATGAAACATGCTGAACTGGATGGTGGCTTATAGTTTCTCCTAGCCACTCATTCTTGAGTTTGAGGACTTTATTTTTATTATTCTGGGGGTCTAACAAACCGGACAGAGGGTGGTTCTAAGGTTCTGCAAGATTTGGACATATATATCCCTGAATCTCGAGCCTCAAAGGGCTCCCTGCATTGCTTTGATTAGGCTAATTTGTCATCCAGCCACCTACCTAATATTTTGTCTTCTGGGATTTCGGGCGCTCGCTCATTGCTCTATATCTTTTAGCAAAGGTTATGAGCCTGCGTCTTCGAGACTAGAAGGACTTCTGCAGCATAACCATGACGGAACTTGAGAATATTGCGGATTTCCCGCTGGGAACGGAGACTCTCCTCTCCCCCCAAACACAAAGAATGCGTCTGGAGTTTCAGACTCAATTGACGATTATATTCTCGTCTGAAAAGATCATTATAAGTGGTGAAGCAGACTGTTCGATTTGGTATAATAAGCACAAAGGCCCAGCAGGTCAGTTGATAATCGCAGATGCCAAAAAAGGCCAGACATGTTACTCTTGGCTTGCCACAGTTAATAGTCTAGTTGGGTAAATTCTCATCTAGCGACCCAGAAATCGACAAAAGATATTGATATTTATCAGATGTGACAATTCTAGTGCCTTCCTTGCATGCTAGGAATTGAAAATGCGTT